GTTCTGGTCCTTTGCGACAACAACACCCGGACTTTGCATACTACTATTGTATTCTACGCTGCAGGCAGCTCAAAATGCCCCCATCTGTGCAAACTGTAAGTCCGTTACAATTCCTCACTACAAAACAAATCATACATACCTGCTCATACCAACCTATCTACCCCGCACCCCATCCCTCCAAACCCCCAGGTCAAAGGCCAGCCAACCCAAACAAAACCAACTAACCACTCTGATGCACAACAGACAAGACTAATATCCTCCCTCCGCCTCCTAATTCCCCGTCTCCGCCTCCTTCAAAAGAAAGACACTGCCTCCTCGAAAGTCCAGCGCCGCGAACTCGCCCAACTCCTCGAAGAAGGCCGCGACACCTCGGCGCGCATCCGCGTCGAAAATGTCATTTCCACAGATACCGCCGTCGAGGTGATGGAGACGGTGGAGCTTTATTGTGAGTTGTTGCTTGCGAGGGCGAATGTGTTGGACCAGGTTGCGTTTGGGGAGAAGGGGGTTAGGGCGAGGAGTCGGGCGAGGGAGGAGAAGGTTAGGAATGAGGTTGGGAAGAGGCAGGGTGGTGGGGCTGGGGCTGCGCCAAAAGATAGCAAGGGCAATGAGAGTGGTTCGAGCTCGAGGGGTCTGTTTGGGTTCCCGTTCTTTGGTGGTGGACAGCAGAAACAAAAATCCGAGAATGCGCACCCCAGCTCAGGATCTGCCAAAGATGACGCAGACCTCAGCCCGGAGGAACTGTGCTATATCGACCCCGCCATCGACGAAGCTGCTGCAGTTGTCTTCTATGCCTGGCCTCGCTTCCCGCACGACGTCCGCGAACTAAACATCGTCCGGACCATGCTCGCAGACCGCTACGGAAAGGATTTCATGGCGCTAGCGCAGGAGAATAAAGTCGAGCACGTGAAAGTACCGGAACGAGTGGCGAAGAGTCTACGAGTGCGGCCGCCGACGCAGGACTTAGTCGAATTATATCTAAAAGAGATTGCGAAGGCATATGGTATTACATGGGGAGAAGGGCAACAGGAGGATCTGGGTAATGCACCTGAATTCGTGGACGATCGACCGTCAACACCACACGACCAACAATCAGATGGAGGAAACGGAGACAGCCCCGAAGACAAAACAAGACGCGCCTCTGATACCAACGAACTGAACAAAGCTACCCCGCCGCGACGGCCCGTTCAGTCCGGTAAAAGTCCCGTCAGCGTTGCGCCTCCGGGTCCCAGGACTGATAATCCCAATCCTCGTGTTAAGGTGCCGAGGCCTTCGTCTTCGGAAGATTTGAACAATACGGCGAGCAAGAGTACATCAGACACTAGCAAAGCGAACGAAGATCCCAATCGTATACCGGAAGTGGATGAGTTGAGTCGTCGGTTTGCGGAGTTGAGGCGGAAACCTTAGATACAAGCACGATTGTGACTTATTGTTGTTGACCGTTTCACGAACATAAGATGAATATATAGCATAAGCATCTACTTTAATACCCTGTGATCAAACATTGAGATAAATGGTATTGTATTAAATGTATCTCAACCAAACGGATCAAGACACCCTGCCTCTATATTTCTCCTGTCTGTCTGTCATATCATGCATAATAAAAAAAAATAAAATAAAATAAAGCAAACAAAGGAAAAGCAAAGGCAAATATATGCAACATGAGAAGAAAATGGCAAAGTAAAAAAGAACACAAGCTAAAGAAACGAAAGCGAAAATAATGAGTATAGTACATCAAACAAAGATGGTATCAAAGAACCCAAAATAGAAAACAAGAAGGGGCAAAACAAAACAGAAGAGATGCGAAGCAAAGCAATGCATACCCTCTTATAACTTTTTTCAGGATATATGTCCAGCCATGTCTGAGCCTATCCAATCCAGCCTGCGGAATGTTGTCAGATCAAGATCGGTATCTGGGCGCGGTTTCGCCCATATGAGTAATGCATGCCGATGATCAAATCGAAGTCGAAAGAGTGGGGTCAAGAAAGAGAAGCATCGAGGCAAAGACGCAAAGGGGGAGGAAGAGATTACTACATCTCCTCCTCCTCCCCAGGAAGCAGAATCTCATGCCCAGACCCCTCATAAACGAAAATCGCAGCAATACATCCAAACACCGAAACCAGCGCAATCAACCACCAAGCAAAACCCACCGTCCCAATCTCCAATCCATACCCATACCAGCTCCCCGAGAAAATCGGTCCAAGAGTCCGGAACGCCGACGACACCGACTGCCCGATACCATGTATCGTGCCCAGAACAGACGGGTGCGGGGAACAGTTGTTGAGTAAGATGATGGAGGTTGGTAGGGTGAATGTTCGGGCTGTGACTTGCAGGAAGAGGACGACGATGATGGAGAACCAGACCCAGATGCCGTTGGCTTGGTCTGGGGGTGGGGTTGAGGAGGGGGCGAGGGCGATGTAGGGTGCGAAGGCGTAGGCGAGGGGGAAGAGAGAGAGGAAATATTGGTAGCTTTTGGCTGTTCCTAGACGGCCATTGATGATGGGGTAGATGGTGAATTGGAGGAGCATTCCGATGATACCTAGAATGGCTGTTGCAAATCCAACGCTTTGGGGAAGCATTCCGAGACCACCGGTGAAGACGAACGGCAGCTTCTGGGCCAGACTGGCGGGGTCGTTCGGGTCGTAGCGGGGGGTAGAGAGGAAGAGAAGCCAGAGGTTGTTGAAAGCACTGTCGTTATTAGCCATATTCTCACACCGAAATGAGAACCGAGAACTCACCCCATCTGGAAGTCAAAAAAGGCCTGCGCAAAAAGCGTACAGAGGACATTCTTGGTCCAGATATTCCGGAAAGACAGCACGCGGGCCGGCCGCGCGGGTTTGGCTTTTTCTTCCATCTCGTAGCTTTCCGTGCGGTCCAATGGGCGGTTCAACAGGGGGCCTTCTTCGTCGTAATCGCGGAAGGGAAGTCGAGAGTATAACGGGGAAGAGGATGGAACGACCCTCTTGAAGACACGGGAGAAGAGTCGCATAGCGAAGACACCCAAGCCAGGCTTGCCTTTGCAGGCTTCCAGTGTTTCTTCGAAGCCCATAGCAACAAAGCCCGCACACATTGACAAGAAAATGGCATTGACCAACATGGGCAAAGCGTAGGGGTAAGTGATCAGCCATTGAACACCGGACTGGCCACCAAATGACGAATTCGGGCCGAACAGCGCAGGATAACTCGTGACGGGATCAGAGAGCATACCACCCATGACTGTCAATTAGCAACCAGTTAGCATATCGAACCCAATGTCAGACAACAAGGGAGAAAGAAACCTACCCGGCCCAAACAATGAAGCAATATTAAACCCAATCGGCAAAATTAAAAATGCCCTAGAATGATACTTCTTCTCCTTAACATTCTCCGCAATGGACGTCCTAATAATTCCCACGGTCCCATTAATCGCACCCCCAAACGACCGCCAAAACACCGCCTGCGCAAAAGATGTCGAGAACGCGACTCCCAAACACGAAATTGCAGTCCCCAGCAACCCAACAAGCAGCACGAACTTCCGACCTCCCCACTCCGCATCCGCAACCCGACCCCATGGAATCGCCGTCGCGAACTGTGCAGCCGTAAACGCACCTTGCAGAATACCCGCTTGCGTGGAAACATCGGAGTCTGAAAGATCCTTGTCGAACGACTTGAGCTGGTAGAACATGTACGCCTGCAATGAGGCGATCTGTAAGAAATCGAACACGCGACACAGTCCCAGAATCGCGAGCTGCTTTTTCCTCGGCAGCGACATCCACGTTACGGGTCCGGGACGCGCAGTCGAAGATATCGGCGGAGGCCCCGAAACAAACGAGTGTGAAGGGTCGGAGGGATGTAACGGCGAAGCAGCAGCAGAATTCGACGGGTGCGGTTCTAGTATGGGCAATTCCTGCTGGCCCTGGCTCTGGGAGCGGCGACGGGCGTGGCCCTTCCAATCCATCGAGGTATTTCTCAGCGCCATAGTCTCGTCTGCGTCGTAGTCGTAGCCGTTGTCCGCGTCGGAATCGTTACCACCGCCGCCACCTCTCTCGGAGACACTGGCGAGCGAGTAGTTGGATTCGCGGCGACGACGTTGCTGTGTTGTTGAAGATCCGGCGGTGGACTCAAAGGTAGTGGAGAACTCGCCTACGGCAGGGGAGAGGATATCGCGACCAGTCGACCAGGAAGTATTGCGTGAATGGCGGGCATTCCGGTCCCGGTTTACATGAAGTTGAGAATTGGCAGCAGGAGTGGTAGGTAGAGGGGAGACGAGAGGAGAGGATAGTCGGCGGTTAGTGGTGCCGGAGACGGAGATGCGAGGCATGCCAACGTCATGTATATAATGTGGTATATGAGAGAAAAAGAGAGAAAGAAAATGACAAGAAAAGATAAGAGCCTGAGCGTTGTATTTGGTTTACTTTTTTTACAACTGACTTTTACTCCGTACAGAGTAGTATGTATGTACAACTTTACTCCGTGCTCTGCACACGATAACTCGGAGTTATCTTCGTTGGATCGGCGCAACTGGGATTGCGACGCCTCCCCACTCATTCACTGTGCCGGTTGATATGCTCTTTTAGTGACATTTTCCTATCCTGTCCTGTGCTATCTTTGCATGACTATATTTCAACTGTACGCATACGGAGTAGCTCAGACTACGTATCATGTCCGTATCATTTAAATAGTAGCCCGGATGATCACGGGACTGTTTCATAGGTATGGTATGGTATGTGTTACTGACCATACTGTACCGCTTGGTACCGGTAATTTCCAGCCATAGGCCCCTGTCCATGTGGGGATGTGGGCCATGGATGGTGGATCGTAATGACTCGGCAGTGGCTGGGCGTATGATACTGTAACCATATGACTTATAGTACAAATATAGATTCATACAACAGTGTACAAGGACAAGTATAGAACAGATTATCTACAGTATATATACAGACAAGAAAAAGGAACAAGGGTATCATCACCTCTCCCGTCGCTCGCGTTCCTGCAACGGCAGGTAGTCATCCTCCGTCCACTGCTGCCACCACCGCCGCTCTCCCGTCTCTGACGGCTTTGGCTCGTCCTCCGGCATGTCACCCAGAGTGTCCATCGAATCGCGCCTATCCCAGTACGTCTGATCCCGCCGCCGCGGACAACGACAGCAGCTGACGATCACCTGCACTGCCACGGCTGTAATAAGTACAACCACGGCTCCAACGGCCCAATTGGTATAATCTGCGGGATGTTAATCTCAATCCTAACAACCTCAGATGAACGGAAAGGTGGAGGACAAAACATACCGTATACACTACCAGAAGCAGCATCAGATGAAGAAGACTCTTCGGACTGCCCACCCGATATTCCATAATCAAACAACTTCTCTGGATTATCCGGGTCAACCCAGGGCACTGTGTTAACGCCCATGGGTGGAATCAGCGGCCTGGTGTTCGGGTCATCTTGGAAGCCGTAACTCAGTGCATTCCCACAGTCTTTCTCGGAGCAGTAACTTTGCAACTCTGGTGAGGGCACGAATGTAAACGTGTTGGGGGACTTGCCCAACAACTTCCCCTGCCCGTCTACTGCTTCCGCATGGGTCCAGGGGTAAAAGTTCACGTCGGTGTAGGCTGTCTCAAAACCCGCTTTGGGTATTTCATCAAGCATGGTATAAGGACCTGTGGCGTTCGTAGAACCATAGAAGCGCCAGAACTTGACGCGCGTAGCGCCGTTCCAGCTGACATACTGTGTCGTTGGGGAGTAGGGTTCTGTAGATCTGGAATAGGACCATAGCGCTGGGACGTCTGTTGGGTTGGCGTCCCATTCGAATTTCTGGGCGCGGTAGTTCATGAATCCTGGATCCTGGGAGAGGAAGGCCCAGAAGACGAGGTTGCCGTCTGCGTCGTGCTCGGATACGTATGCGTTGTTGCCCCAGCCCATGAATACATGGCTGTTGTTCAGGACTTGCATGTTGCCTTGGCTGGAGCTGAGCATGCTTTTACCTGGAGGCATGTAGTCTCGCAGCTGGGTAGCCGTCATGTCCACATGGTCGATGAGGATGAGCATGCCAGACGAGTACTGATGCGTCTGGTTAAAACCATTGTATCCGTTGTTGTATAGCGACAAGTATGTATGTGTCGCATTCTCAAATAACCAGCGCGCATCGTGCTGTTGCGAGAAACTGAAGTTGATGTTGGTAAACGACGGGTACTGGCCGTGCAGCTGCCAGATAATGGAACCGTCCTTGCCGGAGATCTTGTAAATTGCAGATGTATGGCGCGAGGAGATCAAATAATCACCATCCGCATTCTTATCAATCGAGTTGATATGGAAATAATCCCACGGCGCAAACGGGCTCAGCCCAGTACCTGAAGTATCCGTATGGTCGGGATAAGTGTAACTGAGCGACGGATCAACATGGTCGAGCGAGCGCCATTGGAACAACATCTTGCCAGTCTCAACGTCAATCTCTTGGAAGACACTCTCCATTATCCAACCAACACCCTGTCGCACGTTCCAAGGACTCATGTCGAATTGACGCTGCTGGTAGACGGTCATCAGGGCGGATTTGCCATTGTTAATCAACTTGAACTCATGCATGTCGCTCGACGCCATGCCACCACTGGGCTGCACGGAACGCACAATGCGATATTGGTTATCCATGATAACGCCATGGCCGCGACAATAACCTTTCTGCTGGTTTCCCTGGAAAAAGCAGAGGTGGTCTTCTCCTTTGTATTGACAAACGTGTAAACCGTGAGCGTTTCCAGGGCCTGAATTGCCCCAACCGCTCCATACTAGGTTCTATCCATCATGGTCAACTTGCAATCTCCTTTCCTAGGCGGATAAAATGAAAGCATACCCCATAACTATCATAAAGATACGGCCCCGGACTATAAGCCTTTTCGTACGGCCCAACAAAGATAAACCCAGGGCTAAGCTTTCTCGGATCGCTAACCTCGACGGTGAACGTTGGAGCGAAGAGATCGGGTCTCTATTAGAATAAATGAAGCACAATTAGCAAGACTGTCACGTCAATCACGTCAACGATAAAAAAATGCGGAGGGAAAATCGCCTAGGCAGTGATCATTACCGATTTGAAGGATGAGACTTCCTCTGCGACCGCTGTACAACAGACGAGCAAGAATGCAACCAAGAGAGGCGAAAGCCCCCCGGCAAGAAAGTTGAAGACGAACATGGAGACCCATTACTTGAGAACGAGGGGATTGAGTAGATTGAAGGGGAGGAAATGCAATTGAGAGAGTAAAGAATACTACTACCTCCTACCCCCTGGTGGCAGTGGCAGTATAGAGTAGATCTGGAGAGGGGGGAGAAAAGAGCAACGATCAGCAACAGGAGAGGAAATGCCTAAAATAAGACGACAAGTCCAGACAGCGGTTATTCATCCAATCGGTGTCTGTTTTCGCTTCTACCGGTCTACGTACTCAGGCATAAAGTACTATGGAGTACGGAGGGAGTACATGTACGGAGGAGCCATGCGAGAGGATACCCTATTCGGAGATGTGTATTTCAGGGGAGCACTTTAGTACTTACCACTACTACTTAGTCCTACTGAAGATCAACATCTCAAACACCGTCCGACTGACCATTATTGAGTGTTCTACTCTCCTACATACAGTTTTTCTCCATACACTCTGTTCTCATAAGGTGAAACAAGTGAAACGAACGGATTCCACCAACGTTCTCGAAGAACTCGTGGGCGGGCGTCCGTGCATTACATACAAATACAGCATCGATACGCATACAGCATACAGATCCTTCAGGAGACAAGGTTGGTGTAAGCCACTGAACCACGTTCTGCATTATCTTTAACTTACTGGATGTTCATCCATGTCTACGAATACTCTGATAAAACCAGGAATCAAACCAAACACGGCCATACAAGTTCTATATACTCCGCACAGTAATCAAGCCACGTCACGCCCATATCAATGACCAGACTCTCCCCACACAAAGTGGAAACTGTCATTCATTGGATACACTCCATTGGCTCGGAGTATCTGTAATTACCCGCCGTCTTTTTTTTTAGTGCTGCTTTTCTTTTTCCCCTGACGATACAGAGTTGTGGATCTGGCATGGAAATACGTAGGTCACTACGTAGGTGGAGGCGTATCCAACGACTTTTTCTGCTGATTTAGCCACAGTCAACGTATTCATGATTGTACTTGTACTCCGAGGTCGGTTTAGACTACTGTATGTACGACGGCGTAATTCTTGGTTTGATGCGTGTAACACGCTGTCAGGACGAAGCAGATAAGAATCTTATGACAGTTAAATGTGCATAACTCGCATTACTTATACACGCCTCGGCTAACAGGTTATCTCCGAGGTATGCATTGGCTCAGAATACCAAGAAAAAACAGGAGTTTCATAAGCAAAGAGAAGAATGCATTTTTGTCGTTCACTCCATGAGCGCCCAGGCAACAGTAGTTACATATCCAAACTGATCCCAAGCAAATATTCTCTGTACAAGACAAACAAAAATAAATGACCCCAATTGGCCATCGCCCAGATTATACGTATATGGTAGTCGCAGTCCAAAAAAAAAAGCAACGTGGCAAGATATCCAAGAAATGTAGCAAAACAGCCACCACTAATAGCAACGCCCGCGCATACTACCAATGAGTGGCAATGAGGTCAACACCCCGTCAACCTCTCACCGGACAAAGCGCTTGAAGGCCATAGTGGCAGCCAACCCAGTGGCCAAGATGGTACCGCCCATGGTGAATGCCTGCAGAGCAGCGTTCATCATCTGGCGCCTGTTGCGGCCGCGGCAGCGCTTGAAGAAGTCGGCCATGTCGTTGCCACGAGGGAACTGGGTGTCGGGCATCTCCTCTCCGAGGAATTCGCACAGCGGGCCATAGCCGTCGCCAATCTGGTATTCGAGCAGGCGCTCTGGAGGCACCAAACTGCGGATCTGAGCGACGTGGTCCTCGTAGACCTGCTTGCCCTTGTTGGGGAAGTCGCCACGGAAGAAGGTCTGGAAGAACTTGCTCAACATGGGGTAGTACATGCCAGCAGCCCAGCTGAAGTTGGAAACGAAGCTGTGTTCCCAGTCGGAGACACGCCACCAAACGGTCTTCATAACGGAACTGTACTCAATTAGCGTCCATCATTTGACTAGTGGTAAATGCTAAACATACGCATGCCACGAGTCCACATCACGGGTGGTCAGGATAACCTTGGCATTGGGGTACGCCTCGATAAGCTCCTTAGCAAAGGCACAAGCAGGCCAGTCACAGACAGCCTAGTACAGTTAGCTCAAGATCAACCATTTTCAAAGATATTCAATATCGCCTACCTGACAGTCACCCAAAAGCTGGTCCCATTCCTTGCGACCAAATTCGCCAATGCCGTCGTACTTGGCAAGAAGAGCATCGTGCCACATCAAGCAGTCCGGAGGGTTCTCCATACTCGCAGACATCATGTGGTAACACTTGAGGTATCCCAAGCGCTCAAGGGCAATCCGCAGCGAAGCCGTTCCTGTGCGTCCTACACCGAGAGCGAGCACCTTCATGGGCACCGTCCGGTGACACTTTCTTCGGTCGATGCATGTGTCATTGGTGAAGACATCGGTGATAGGTTGCGGAGCAAGGTTGTCGGAGTAGGTCAAAGACATAGTGACGGCGTTGAGATCGTGATCAGATTATGATATTAAGTATAAGATCTGAGGACGTTGTATATAGTTGATAACGAAGGTGTGTCGCGCAAAGCAACGGTAGGATAGACTAGTATAGAGAGAGAGAGAGAAAGGGGAAGATAAAGTAGAGGATAAAACGAAAGAGAAAGTTCAGGAGATGGTCAAGTTGTTTGGAAATGTTCTTTATTAAAGTCCGTCACCCTGAGAATAGAACAAGAGAGAGCAGATCAAAAAAGATACATTATCGTAAACCCCGTTCTTAGATAAGTTGGGGGGCGGGTCTCGCAGAAAAAGAACCAGAACGCTTCGAAGTGTAATGTTGTAATTTTTCTTTTCCCCTTCTAGACCCGCGCTAAACTGTAAAGTTACATACGTATTGGTTGCCCCCAGTGGTTGACGGTGGCGAGTGTTACCCGCCCTTTGCTCGGCTCCTGTTCTTGGCTCCCACAATGCTGATGCCTGAGGACGCATAGAAAAGAGCATTACTTGTAGGTATAACACTATACAAGTGCTCTAGTACAAGTACTGTGCTGTGAGTCTAGTCTCTGTAAATGTAGCCAAAACATACACAGACACAGATAAACTGACCACAACGTCACGAGCTGACGCACCCACGGATAACCGCTGATTGTCAGGGGGGCACAGAAGAAGGCAAGTTTCCCGATCAGGAACAGTGTTCTTTTTTAAATCCGACTTGTAATCTGACTGGTCGGAACAGTTCAAAACTGAAACTCCACATGCACCGACTGAGGCATTCAATCGAATACAGAGTATGTACCTGTACTGTATGGTAAATACGCCAAGTCCATAGTGCTCTCTGTAGTTGTCCCGCCGCCCTACCGGGCAGGGGAGGAGATGCCAAGATCAACGCCGCGTATAACACGGATGCTCTCAATCAGGCTCGACTCCACGAAACGATCGTCCTTCCCAGTGATTGGATGCGGGGATGTAAAGGTCGACGCGTACACTCTCAATCCGGTAAAGTGTGAAACGGGAGGTAACCTCCACCTATTTCCGGTCGATAGTCTCTCTGAAGAAAGTTTAGGGGCATTCTGGAACAATGCGTTGCGGTGGCGGATGTACCGGAGAGTTGCATTGCATTGTGTTCTCGATTTGAGGCGCAGGATCGTACGTGTCTGTAGGTTGACGTTGGCGATAAAGCTATACATATCAATCATCATCATTCGCGTGCTGTTTCTGTTTTAATAAATCAATCGTTCTGGACATCTGCTTGGCCCAAGGTACTTCCTCGGCTTGATACCGTATAAGTGGCACGGGACCCATCCGGAAATCAATGGCTGGGCTCGACTTGGATTAGAGTCCCGAGTCATTTCTGAGCTTCATTTCAGATTGATCTGCCAAGAAGAGCAGAGGGGAAACGGAAACTGAACTCGTATCAAGATTTCTCCAATGGGAGCAACACTGTCAATCATTCAGTTCACCAGTCACCGCCCTTGGTTGGTATTGTGGACAATCAAGTCCAGCCATGGTGATATCAGAAGGCCAGTGCGGTCCGTTCATGATACGCCTGTCCATACAAAGTGCATGTACAAATTATTAGCGACAGGCGGTAACAGCGTCCGAGTTCCCACGGCTCCCGTCCAGTTCCACCGCACTTCAATCAAACTCACGGATCTCAACCGTTTCTTTCCTTTTTGGGGAAAAATTGGCCATCTCCCCTCTGCCGTCCGCCCGCCTGTATTCAATGGTTGGAGACGCTGTCATGGGAAATGCCAAGATAACCAGTTTATTATGCGCGGGTCCGTGTACTCCATCCTGTAGTATGTATTCCGTCCCAAAGATGGGATGTGGTAAGAATTCTCGCAATCTTCATGACGATCTTCTCCAACCATCCCGTTTAGATGTGGCGTTCCAAATTTTCAGTTGTGCTAGACCATGCTGCAGTGGAAAGGGACTCTTCAAAATGATACAAGTCATCGTAATGGAGCAATGAGTGGCATCTGTAACAATATATCTGTGATACTGGTGTCTGGTATGGAAAGCAAGTTCATATGGGGTCTCGTCAATATGAGAAAAAACGGGATACCGCTCTAGGGGTCCTCGACTGTTGTCGGGCTCTGTGCTCTGTAGATCCAAGTTGATTGGTGTCCAGTGGTGGTTTGGTAGTAAGTAGGTCTGTAACGAAGTCGCATGTCCAAGATACTCGCCACCTGGTTCTTGAGGTTAGTCGACAGGAACAATTCTAATGTCTCCTCAAGAGAAGAACAAAGAAGCAAGAAAAAGCAAAAAGAATCATTCAAAGGGAGTCAGCCCAAAGGTGGACGCTGTCAGCCTTAAATGTCCCCCGCCAAGCCCGGTCACGACATCCACTCGCAATTGCTATCATTGATCACCTCATAGATAACCCCTTCCAAACTATTGTACAAGGCACCATTGTTCTTCCCGCTGTCAAAATATGTGTTCTTGAGGTTATTTGAGTCTAAAACACGCGTTGGACCCTGGTTGCCCGCAGCCGGCAGGTAAATTCGGCTGTTGGGCTGTGCTATGTATGGACTCTGCTGAGGATGACTAACCCTTCCAATAACTTACTAACTAGATAGTTACTCCTGTGTCAAGTAACAGTAAAGTAGAAGTTTTGTGCATGTTCAGATGAGAATTATACAATAAGATATCATTAAGATGCAATTAGATACTGCCGTCCTCTGGTCAATTGACGGCAATGAGCCCCAGAGGCCCCCTCAGATACTGTACAGACCTGACACAAAGCATCAAAACTCCAAACTCCAAGCCGGTGGTAACCGTATGCGGATGCCAGAAAACCCTCCCAATTGTACGCCGTATATTATAGCACCAGTCAACATGGTTGTACCCGTATGCCGCTCACTCCAATTTATCCAGATGCTCCAGCCTTGTCAGAACGACTTGTTTGCTGGTCTCTTCGATCTCACCCGCAAGGAAGACCTCGTCCAGAATCGCATAAACCTATTAACGAAATCACGTCAGCTGTGACCCAATGTCCTTAATCCACACCAAAGACGCACCTTATAAAAGTTGAAGACGAGATCCAGTTCACACACGTTCCCAAAGAACTGATCCAGCACCTCCACGAAAAAATGAATCGCTTCGAGGTACGCCAGCTCGTTATCGTTGGCATCGACACACACGCAAAAGAATAACCCCGCATATCGTCGATACACCACTTTGGTACTCCGTTTGAACTCGACGAAATTCGACTGGTACTTCTGATCTCTCGGCGCGACGAGACGATGGACCTAAGAAAGCGAAACATGTCAGTAACTATTATGACAAAATTAAACGAACGAGCAGCATGCACCAACCTCGCCCTTAAGCTTCACTTTCTCCTCATCCTACCCATGCAAATCCATTAGCCACGCTCCCATCGCAACGTATTCAACACTTATCCTCTCGGTCTCATCTGATAGTATACTCACGCTATATGGCGCATACCACTTCGCCAGGCGCGTTTTGCCCCTATCAATTCATCGATTAGAGCTCAAGTACAACAATCAAGTCAGGGTTCAGGGGCATCACACTCACTGGCGATTCTGTACCAAGATAAAAGAGAGAACCATCCCGCCCACAACTCTATGTTCCGGATTAAGCCGCTAGATATTCAAAGAGCGTTATTCAGTTCTCACGGGTTGCGCAGCCTGGAATTCGATGCTATTGGGATGTTCTCCGCGGTACCCCGTGAAGCTCATGGCCGAGACTCGATTTTGCCAGCTCTCACCGCCTTTATGTCATTGTTTTTTTGGAGATCTTTTGAGTGTTGCTGCTGGATTTAGGTGTTGGGTTTATATATAAGTATTGTTGCTAAGAGTACTGTGGGGAAGCTGCCTGTCTATGCTATATTTGTGAAATTTATTGAGTTTGCGCTCAAATGCCATGATGCAGAAACTTTGGCTGCTTGCTTTTTTGGAATAAGATATTTGGCTTTGGTATTAGATTGAAAGACTAGAAAACGAAAAAGTGACCAGGGTAGAACAAAGGAAATTGTAACATAGTGGATCCGTGCCAGCATGACATTTTGAATTCTCATGAAGTAGAATTGCTATTTTTCTTGAACAGCCTCGTGATTTTGTTCGAGAATCGTGACTAGAAAATAAGTCAGTCAGATACCCCTGGCCATTGGAATCGCAAAAGAAAGTAAACATACCCCCGAAGAAGTCTTAGGCCTTTCCGGTTCTCCGAAGTTATTATTGGAGTCAATATCATTACTTGTATACTCCTTGTCCATCACGTCCTCATCATCGTCTTCAATGGTCTCTTCATCCGTCTCAGGATAATACCTCTCCGGATCCCCATTATACACAATATACCACCCAAGCTTTTCCCCCGCGGCATATTTATCTCGAAACTCCGTTACTGCGATCGATGCCTCCTCCGATAGCCCAGGATCCTTGTTGAGTTCCTCCACATCCCAGCAAATGTTGTTCCCGGGTGTGCTGGGGTCCGGCATCTCAATCACTCTCGCCGCAACATAGGCGTACGGCTGGCTAACCGCAGCCTCGCTCGAGATGTCTTCGGGGTCGTATTGCTCGATGAATCGCACTTCTGGCAGTCTCGCCATGATATCGGGTTCGTTCTTCTTGAACGATTCGAGGAGCAGGCGTGTGGTTTCCGGTTGCTGCAGGTATTCAGCCGTTGCGTTCTCTAGGTTGTTGAGGACGATGTAGACCCGAATGCCTGTGAAGCCGGCGCGCGGCCAGCGGAAGCCATAAAGGAGGTATACCGGCATTATTACAGTTTGCGCGCGCAGACGGGGGAATAGAATGTCCAAGGGGACGAGTGGGAGGTGGCTGCGATGCGCTGCTCGGCTCGGCTTAGATTGGAATTCAGCGGAAGAAGCGAGGGTGTAGGTGCCCGGGTGGATCGACGCGCAGGTTCATATTATCCTTGGTATTGTCCACGATGCATTGCCTGCCGTGTTACTGACAAAGGCTCTGTCAATTGAGGCGTTGTGTAACATTATCGGCCGTTTGTTGTTGCAGTCACGTGCTTCGTTCTGGATTCCGACGGACGGCTACAAATTTTTGATAGATCACATTCCGAGATGCGACATGTACTAATGTCATGAACAGAAGAATTGTTGAGCAATCTGGGAATTTCATTTGCGGAAGCGATCATTTTGCTATGCGACTAGCAATCTACAGGTATCATAAACTTTTGCTAGATAACTCTTCATCATTCATTATCACGAGCTGGCCCCATACGCTCTTTGCCAACACGCATCGAAAGTCGCCTGGTCAACAGCGAATTCGCGAATGTAATCTCTTTCGAGATCGTGCGTCTTCCGTCCCAACAAGACCAAGCTATGAAGTGGCCGGCCCATCTCCACCTCCGCCAGCTCCTTCAGAGTTCCTGCAATCAATTTCTGATCCGCAGCGCCAACCCGCGCAGCACCAACGGCCAAACTGTCCGGTCCAAACACACCTTCCTTCCTCTCCTCCTCAGTTTCCAGCATTTGGCTGGCGCATTGTGCGACCGTCATATACCTCGGCGGTTCGTAGATCATCCGTCCTCTGGCGAGGTTCTCCAGCGATGGCTCTTTGACCTTGATGTCTAAGAGAACCAGCGTATGAAGACCCAAGTCTACGTTCTCCTTCACTCTGTCGTAGTAGGACGAGGGCTTCCAGTTCTCTGTGAAAAATACCATGCTCACTGTCTGGCCGAAGTTGTAGAGTTGCAGGCCGGTGCAACCAATGCCGGACATGATCGAGGCGTTCGGGATGACCTTACTCTCGATGCCGAGTTCGCGGGCCCGGAGGACCAGATCTGTGTGCGTAGTCGCTCTGGTGATCTGTCAGATCCCGCTTCTGCCAACGTTCATGAGGGAATATATGCATACCCAAAAGGATCGCCGACGACCAGGAATGCAATGTCGGTCTTGTCGGCGTCTGCGAGGATCTCATCGCTGCCACTCTCGACTAATTCTCTGTCTGCCACAATAACAGGGCGTCCATAGAAAGCTTCCTACTGATGAAGCAACAAATATTAGCCCTTGATCTTTTCCATAAGGTTTCTTGAGGCACGCGAAAATAGCAAGTGAGAATCAGCACATACTAGCTTTTCCTTCTCCACGAGCAAAATGCTGGTGTATGCTTCAAGGTAGACTCTCTCGGCCTTCTTGACAGCCTCCAATCCCTTGACCGTAATGTCAGTCTCATCGGCGAGACCTAGTCCCACGAGGTACAGCATCTTAATCTCTTTATGACAAATTCGTTTGGTATATCGGCAATGCAGTGTCGCAGTTAAAAAGTTTCCTTTTCACCCCACCAAATGCGGCGGAGGGCCGGGTTGCGGAGAAACAAAGCTCCCGAGTCTGTTATCGCGTCGGTCTCTCCTTCGGAGGCATCATCTCCATACTTCATCGCTGTCGCAAACTATCAATTATAATTTATTGCTTTTCTAACTAGCATTGGACGGTTTTAACACGGATCTTGTAGCTCTTGGGCTGTTTATAATACTAAGCCATCGAAATGTCGGATCGAAATCCCAAATATCGGCAGGAGATCCAGCAGGTAGGTCATAATCACCTCGTTGTATATACGACACACGTGGCTAATCGCTTCTTTCTAGATGATGTTCGTCTCCGGAGAGACCGCAGAACCATCAATTGAGACGACAACTTTGATCGAAGAGATCGTGCGCCAACAAGTCATTGAGATTGTAGGTAGCCCTCCCCGTTGCGCCGCGTGCGCAACCCATGCTAACCAGTCGTAGCTTATACGAAGCACGGCCTTGGCCACCCGTCGTGGGGTCCGCTCAATCTCCACAGATGATTTGATCTTCTTAATCCGCCATGACAAAGCAAAGGTCTCACGTCTAAGGACATTCCTTTCGTGGAAAGATGTACGAAAGAACGTCAAAGATTCAGACGACAAGGGCGGCGGCGATGCAGCCGACTTCGCAGGTGCCGATGACCCTCTTGCAGCTGGTGCTGTCGCTGGGCCGCAAGATATGGCAGCTAAACCCAAGAACAAGAGGGCTAAAGTCGGTCTTGTTTGGGATGTGAACAGTTTCTACTCGGTGCAGGTTCCAGAAAGGGATGATGAAGAGGATGAGGAAGAGGAGGAGCAAAACTATGCGACGCTTCAACGGCTTGCGGCTGCGGACGAAAGAACCAAGCACATGACGAAAGAGGAATATGTGTTTTGGTCTGAATGTCGGCAAGCGTCATTCACATACCGCAAGAGCAAGCGTTTTCGTGAGTGGGCTGGATTCGGTATTGTGACCGAGTCTAAGCCCAATGACGATATAGTCGACATTCTTGGTTTCCTTACTTTTGAAATAGTGCAAACCTTAACAGAAGAGGCGTTGAAGGTCAAAGAGCGGGAAGATCATGAGAAGAACCGACGCGGACCAACAGATAACGGGGGCGAGAACCCGAAGAAGCGCAAGCGTGAAACTGGTCTTTTTGACCCCCCAGAAGAGGGCCGGAACCCAGTAGAGCCAAGGCATATACGCGAGGCATACCGAAAGCTTCAGGCAACCCCTAACAGACAGGTTGCCATGCTTCTTCACAATGGACGTATACCATCGCGATTTCCTTTGAGACTGGTGAGTTGGCTACCGGCTATCCATAGTACATAATGGCTTGACTAACGTCCATCACAGATTTAATCAGTGTTCTATATTATGTTACTTTTGGATAATTGGTTATATTGCTTCTCAAGGAGTTTGGATTGGTCCTTTACTAGATACCCAGGGCAAACGGATGCATTTCAGATCGATTTATACTGAGGGTTTGGTTTATTTCCCAAACTCTTGTACTATATATGACTTTACACTATAATGCAATAATTACTCTGCAGGCTTGTTAAATTGACTTCAACTATGAAAACCAGGTACTATTACACGATGATAGACAAAGCATGGGCTCGTGAGATCATGACTCCATATGCAGCGGGAGTTAATTAGTTTGCTTGTGCGTCCGGCGCCCTAAAATGAAGTCAGCACAGCTTGACAAAATGATTAAGAAATGGAAGGACACTTACATTCAGCCAACTCCGACTGGCTCACCTCCCGGATCTTGTTAATCGCCGGAACTTCGCCCTTAACAGCACCCCTAACCTCATCAACCGCCCGTCCAACAATCCCCTTCCGTGCAAGGGTATATGTCGCCAACTTCGCCTCGAGCTTAATAACACCAATCCGCGGATCAGCAGGACCACCATCATGCACTCCATCACCCATATCGCCCAGCCAGGTTTTCAGAACGGGCGAGTAGTATTTCTCAACGACCTTAGGGTCGCCGATGATGGAGGCTGTGCCGGAAATGGATGCCCAGGCACCACTAACGGGATCGAGGAAGGACATGTTCGTTTCGGTGGGGTGGACGGTGAGGTCCATGGTTTTGCCAGAGAAGAGGTTTGTGTGGAATAGGAGGTCGATGCCTCCATTTTCCTGTCGATTTGTTAGCTCTTGTCGACTTGCCTTGTTAGGTTTGAGGGTTGTTGGGGGTTGTGCATACCTGTCCGGCCAAGGCCATACACCGTGAGGCCAGGAGGTCCGAATCGCTGGACAGTTTGGTCGTCAACATGCCATATTTAATTCCTTGGATGAAGGTGACAAGGTCGTTGATCTTCTGGTCGAGAGGGAGGTCCTCGTAGTTGTGGGCCTTGTAGGGGTCAACGGCTGCGTTTTTGTTAGTGGTGCTGATGGAGTCGACCATTTTCAATTCAATATGATTATAAGCCTGTTAAATCTGAAAATAAAAGTATTCTGTCACTTCTATGAGATAGTACACGATAACCATGGCAATATATAGCTGGGGTACATTTCCCTGTCTGGCGTAGCGGTGACGTCAAAGGTGACAACCCTCAACCAGATTCCAACCCAAGTTAGGGAAATGAACTCATCGAGAATTGGAAATTGAGGTGCTGTTCGGTTATTGATTCACCGGGTGATGGAATCGGGAGTTTTGCGTTATTCTTTCCATTGTGCTCGGTCGAGAGTGATAGTCCTGGTATAGGTCATGGCTACATAGTACCCGTATACTAGACCCGATTTATGGTATGATTCGTAGACCAGCAGTAGTAAATGTAAAGAGACTATCTAGTGACATAGGGATAATACAGCCGAAGATAAGACTTAAAGTCAAGCCCATTTCTAGTAATATAGTTAAGATATCTGAGCGTCTTCAGCAAGCTCTCTTTGCATTATACCTAGCAACGCGCCTGTATCTCTAAGTAGCATCAACTATTGCCCTGAGAATATTCTTGGGGTAGCCGCGGGGAGGATTCAAGACTATTCTCGAGTTTTCCATAAAGATGGGAAACAAAAGTATGAGGTATATATATATATATTCACGCACTGCCGGTTATCGTGTAGCAAACTATGCACTCAGTATAGGAATGCAGCATCTTATCTTTAATTGTTGTCGAGAGTCTCTCCTCAAGGAAAATAAACAACGTAACTTGTAAACCCTCATCCTATTATTTATTCCATACCGTATTTGTGCTTTAGGAGTGTTATTGATAGGGACGGCGATAACGGTGATGCGCCACTCCGCCTTTATCACCGGCCAAAAGTCTTGGTCCATCAACAGCTTTACTACGACAAATCACCATCCATCAACAATCTATGAACACTTCTAATCCTTAATCTCTCGATCAAACCTCATATCCTCCATACGATCCAAAATGAGTAAACAACCCACTGTCACCCCGTCAAGCGACACCGCCTTCCGCAAAACCTGGGATCGCGAAGAATATGCCAAAAAAGCCGCCGACGACGAAACCCGCCGCAAAGAAGAAGGCAAAGCGCGCTACGAAGCCAAACTCCTCGGCAAGAAATGGCACGCCCCAGTCGACTACTCCACCCTCGAAGCCACAACCTCGCGCAAGAACCGTCTCGATGTTGCGTCAATGGTTGGCAAGACTACGATTGTCCCCAGTGGTTCTGCGGTGGGCAAACGGGGTCGCGGGGCGGGGTTCTACTGTGCGGACTGCGATCTTACGTTTAAGGATAATTTGCAGCTCGTGGAGCATTTGAATAGTAAGCAGCATTTGGTTGCGACGGGGCAGAGTGGGGAGGTTGTGCAGGCGGGTGTGGAAGATGTGAGGTTGAGGTTGAGGATGTTGGCGCATCAGAGGAGGGCTAGGGATGAGGAGGATAGGCGTGTTTGGCAGTTGGATTTGGGGGAGAGATTGAAGGAGAGGGAGGAACAGGATGCTAAGGAGCGAGAGGAGAAGAGGCGCAAGCGAAATGAGAAGCGTCGGAAGGGTGGTGATGGTATCAAGCAGGAGGAAGAGAGCTGGGAAGGGCGACTGGGAATTATCGCATAAATCAATATGGGTGTTTGGGGTTCATTTCTCATTCGACAAATTGTATATCCATGGCATGTTTGGCATATATTCAACGGCGTTCTGGGCTTGGATCAAGGTACGAGAGTTGAAAGGGTCGCTCATAAGCTCCATTGGTAAGATCGATTCGAAATATGTACCACTGATTAACATCAAGAATAGAAAAAAAAAAAAAAGCATATATGGTTCTTAAAACGCCTCCAACACCTTATCATGCCCAATACCCCAAACCAAAAAGATATCCCAATCCGTTTAATCAATGCATTCAATACCCTCCAAAACGCGCATGGCCCGTCCCCCCTCTTTTTCGAATTGGCTGACAAGCCTTTCGCACTCCTGCTTCAATCGCTCCTCTCCGTTCTTTGCATTCCAGTTGATCCACTCCTCCACCGTCATCTTCTTCTCCGGGCTTGTCAAGTTTCCGCTTGCTTTACCTCCCGGGCTGGCGTTGTCCTTGTCGCCGTCTCTCACGAAAAGAATACTCTCGATGTCAATCGGAGTCCAAGGGCGCGATGTTTTCAAACCGCCTGTGTTTACATTCTGCTTGGATGGCGATGGTGTGCTGGCGGTCAATGGAGTCCGCTCAGAAGGCTGTTTGAATGGGGACAACGCAAAATTCCGTGATGCTGAGGGCTTGGTGGATGGCGGTTGGTTTTCAGCATCAGAAGACTGTGGCGACAGAGATGGTGATTCTCGAGGTGTCGATGGGAAGGGCGAGATGGAACCGCTGGCCTGTCTTTCGAATTGCCTGGTATTCTTTGGCTGAGCGGGTGTATCCGAAGTATGCGAATCTGTCAAGCTTTTTGCTAATTGCTTCTCCTGCGGAATGTTGCTGTACCTTTCAATCGTTTTCGGCGGAATACCCGATGACCGACGTGATGACTGGCGACGAGCGGATAGCTCTTCGGGTTGTTGCTCTCGCTCTGGTTCCTGTTCGGACGTTGCTTCTCTCTGTTCGGGCGAATCGACTCGTGCAAGTTCTTGGTCTTGGACATCTTCGACGTGTCCTTCGTCTTCTTCTTCGGGCTCAGGTAGTTCCACTGACGATTCACTTGGTTTCTTTAATTTTTTGCTTTTACCTGTATAAGCCTTCTTATTTAGCTTCGGTACTTCCTCGTCGCTTAGAATTTCCGCTTCAGCTGATTGCTGTGGCTTTCTGGTTTCGATCTCCACGGATACGAGAGACTCATGGTATGTAGGAGCAACTGCTTCTGCATCCTCCCTCTCAATCTCGGGCGATTCCCGAGATTTAGAGTCCTTTTCTTGCGACTTAGATCCCTTGGCTTTGCGTTTGCCGGAACTCTTGCCTGTTTTTACCTGGGTCCGCGGCTCTATTTCGACAGGCTCTACCGGATCCTCCTCAGGGATTTCGTCCGATCTATCTTGTCTCTCATCGTGTTCTGGCATGTCTGCGGGACCTTGTGCTTCTGGACTCGGCTTGGATTTCTTGCTGGACTTTGGCTTTTTCAACGTCTGTTCAGTGGTTGTCTCTGCGCGCTTCTCTTCAGAGCTTGCCGGATCCGCTTCAAGGTCAGCTTCAAGTGCCGCATCCAGCTCGGCATCATCAGGTGTACGTGAGGTCGGAGGTGCTTTTGATATTGAAACTTCAGAAACCTTGCGGCCTTTTGTTGATGCGTTCTTCTTGGTTCGACGGCCCTTTTTGGGCTCCGCTTCCTGGGAAGCCATCTCGTTCTGCTCTTGTGTAACCGCTGGGGCCGCATCGTTCAAAGTACTATAATTTTGTTGAATAGTGCTGTTGCGTGTTCTTGTTGCTCTTCTTTTAGGGGCTGGCTCAGGCAGTTCCGTCGTCTCTATATCGACCTCGTCCCCGTAGCTCTGGCTAACTTCTTCACTCGTGCGTTTCTTTCCCCTGGTTGCGCGCTTTGGCTTGGGAGGTTCGGGTTCTTCGGATGCGGCGCCATCAATATCCATCTGGTCATCTGTATTCACCGTGTCCGTTCTCTTGGATTTCGTGGGTTTAGCCTTGGATTTAGATGACTTTTTGGTGTTCTTTGTCTTGGGAGTCGTTTCAAACTCAATATTCTCGTCAACCTGGTCGTCAAGATCCACCGGAGGTGCATCCGAGGCGGTGGACTGTGTTGCTTTGGAGGTTCGTGGCTTTTTCGAGCGGGAGGCTTTTGCTTTCTTGCTGGGATTCTGCGCAAACACGAAGAAAGAACAGTCTGAAGATCTTCGGTAATGTTCCTCACTAACAGGGATTAGATGCACTCGTGGGGAAGGAGCGACCATGTGCACTTACTAAGGGTCATCCTTAGGTTCCCATCCATCGAGAGACAACTTGCAGTAGGCACAGCTAGCCAAGTCGTTACTCTCTTCGTTGGCGCAGAAGTACCATCCACCTGCAACCATCTATCACAACGATGCGCATCAGAACCATAGCTTCAAAATTGGACGAGAACAGAGCTACATACCTTTTCCGACTGACACACCCAACCCCTCTTCCCATCATGTGGCCAATATAACCCAAATGTTGCTGATCTGGCTCCGGAAATCCTCTCGCTTGTCGGGTCTTCGATTTCGGCGGGGTTCGAGCTATGCCGCTCGATATCTTTCATGATCGCCCATCCACAGTTTTGCGAAAGTGTCAGGTGTTCTGTGATCGGATTATCCTCTTCCTCCCATCCGTCAAGTGCACTCTCGCATAGAAAGCATCTCGTATTATCAGGGTTCGTCTCGTGGGGTTCGTAGTAGAAACCCGCATGCGCCAGCTATCAAGAATAATCGTCAGTCATTGCACCTGAAAGGAACAGGAAAAGACAATACATACCTCAGCTGGCGAAGGCCTGCTATGTGGCCAGCTAATTGGTTTTGTGGATTTTGCACTCGAATTTCGTCGTCTCCCGGGCAGTACCGTCTCGAAGCTGGCAAGGCGGGCGTCAAGCGTCTCCATTTCCTGGCTCATTGTTGCGAAAAAGTGCTCTCCGGGAGCAATTCGTCCCGTCTGCAAAAAGAAGGCGCAATATCTGTCCGAATATCCTCGTTTGGTGGCCTCAAAAAGGCTCTTGGGTGGTTGTTATCGGCGTTGCACTCTGTTTACTCCGTTGTTTTGATCTCTCCGCCGATACGCGCCGCGGAGAAATGAGTCACGTGAAATGTGGCTTTAGTGTGGCGCATTGATTAGTAACAGGGATTTCAGGCCGAGAACGTACGTCAGAGTCCGTGACGGCAGTTAGTGCGGTTGTTGATCGAGACCATCTTCGTTGTTGTCTCGGTTCGCCAAAATTATTTGCTCACCTCTATTTTGATTGACCTGGGAATTATGGTATGAAATTGTGATTCTCCAATGCTCCCTGGTTTATTTCGTCCGTCTACAGCCCTCGCTGTGTTTCCCATCCTTTCCCTTCTGCCGAATCGCAATCATGCGTGAAGTTACTGTATGAGTGCTCCCTTACTTCAATGGAATATTTCTGGCTATTGGGCTCAAAGTGCTAATTGATATTGTGTGTCAAGCCACTCCTTTTGAATACAGGTCGTTTGCGCTCGAGTTTCCCGCCGTGCCCGCGATGCTATCGTTTCCCGGTTTCCCGACGGTCGATCTCTCGCTTGACGACTCCCTCTAATGGAATACTGCTTTCTCGCAATGCCATCCAGCACAGAGGAGGCTATTCGGCCTTGAAATCCATTGATCGAGAGCTTGGCCTGCCGCTGCTCTCCGCATCGTTCTCTACCTCCTCACGATTGTCCGAGCCCGACTGGGATGCGAACCCGAACTTGGACATTTCAGCTTTCTCAGAACTCCCAACGAAAGATTTCGGGGTGAACCAACATATGGTAATTAACCAAGAATTTAAGGAAGCGCTCCGTCAAATCCTTTGGAAATTCCGGGCACCGATTCGGTATGCATTCGCATATGGTTCAGGCGTCTTCCCTCAATCAGGAAGTGCACCTGGATCCGACGGATGCCATCCATCAGCTCCCACAGCAATTAAGAACATGCAGCAGGGCAAGGGAAAGATGATTGATTTTATATTCGGAGTCTCGTATAGTCAGCATTGGCACTCTCTGAACCTGCATCAGCATCGTGATCATTACTCTGGACTAGGTTCGCTGGGATCCTATGTGGTGTCCCAAGTACAGGATCAATTTGGAGCTGGGGTCTATTTCAACCCTTATATCACTGTCAATGGCACTTTGATCAAATATGGAGTCGTCAACCTGGATACACTCTGCAAGGATCTCAGTAACTGGGACACTATGTACCTCGCGGGACGACTGCAGAAGCCCGTCAAAATCCTCCGGGACCATCCGCAGGTACGCCTGGCGAATCAGATGAACTTGCTCTCCGCTTTACGGGTAGCCTTGTTATTACTCCCTGCGGAATTCAGTGAATTTGAACTCTACAGTACAATTGCCGGGCTGAGTTACATGGGCGACATCCGCATGTCATTGCCAGCCGAGGACCCCCAGAAGGTGAGGAACATTGTCTCTGGGCAAATGGCTAACTTCCGGCGGCTATACGCACCGCTGATTGAAAACCTACCCAACGTCGTCTTCAACGACCCGCGGTGCACTCAACGCGATTGGATCGATGATCCCGAAACCAATGTGCGGGTTTCTCAGGATGTGGATCCGGTAAAGCGTGGAAACATGGTCAGCCGGCTGCCCCCAGCATTTCGCGAAAAACTGTACTTCCAATACCAAGCAAGATATCAGATCCCGCGGGCGGAATTCGAGAAGATGAAGGAGGAAAACAGCACTAAGGAACCGGAGGCTTTCCGTCGGAGACAGGGTGGACCGTTTGAACGGCGCATCGCAGGTGACTCGAGCCTTAAGCACGAGATAGAGACATCGATCATGAAAACCATCCGCTGGCCTAGTACGGTCCAAAGTGCCAAGGGGCCAATCACTGCGGGATTTGGCAAATCCTGGAGATACATGCGGGAAAAGCAAAAGAAGTATAAGGGATCCGGCAGCCATTCCACACTATCAAAGCCGGAGGAGCGTCCTTCTGAAGCGGAATCGCAAAAGCCGGAGCCGGAGCCGAAGCAAAAGCAGGAGTAAATCTTTTCTTCTAGATCCTACGGTGAACCTTTTTGTTTTCACTGTTATGACGGGCATATAATCTTCCCACGATGATGATTGTAGATGAGGCATAAGAAGGCGTTTGTTGTTTCCACAGAGGGATGGGGTACATATGTGTCAAGTGTTGATTCCTCTTGGATATACATTATTTCTGAATAGGCTTTACTTCATCAATGCATGTATATACTACTACTATACTTGAACTATTTATATTTTTATGGATTGCCGTGATTCAGTCATTTTTCCGTTCCCGACAATATCCCCGCCACCCCACTATCTTTGCCCGTGGTATTATCATTCATTCCTCCTCTTACCAGCAACTACAAGCAATCAAAAACCGTCACAATGCCTTTCGATTTATCCAAGTGTGCGCGCAAAAATATCTTGAAGCTAAAGCCCTACCGCTGTGCAAGAGAGTATGCTCGATTCCGATTCAATTTACCGCATTCCGCGACGGAAAACTAATGAGTCAGTGACTACAAAGATGATGGGACAAACGTTCTGCTCGACGCCAACGAGAATGCCTACGGTCCTGGTCTCGCCCTGAATGCGGAGGGTGCACTGCAGCAGTCGACTGTCAATGGGGATGCGACTGGGTCATCAAAGCCTGACATTGACTTCCTGGGGTTAAACCGATACCCGGACCCGTGAGTACTGTCGCGCAATCAATCGTTTATCAATTACAAAAGGGCACCATGCTAAGAGATATTGATGGTGAAATAGGCACCAGGTCGAACTGAAACAACTTTTCTGTAACGTCCGCAACACCCACGTCCACACCCAGAAGAACATCACTCCCGATAATCTCTTCGTCGGAGTCGGCTCGGACGAAGCCATTGACGCCCTGCTGCGATGTTTCTGCGTTCCCGGGAAAGACAAGATCCTTACCTGCCCTCCCACATACGGTATGTATGCTGTTAGTGCCGATGTAAACGACGTTGCCATCGTCAAGGTCCCTCTCGACGCGGCCAATGGGTTTCAGTTGCAGCCGGAGAAGATCAACGAGACACTAGCGGCGGATGAGTCGATTAAGATGGTGTACATTTGCTCGCCTGGAAACCCTACCGCGAACTTGATACGCAAGGAGGACGTTCAGAAGGTGCTGGAGCACCCCACGTGGAATGGTATTGTCGTGGTGGACGAGGCATACATTGATTTCGCCCCCGAGGGCTCAAGTCTGGCTGAATGGGTGGCCGAGTGGCCGAACCTGGTCGTCATGCAGACACTGAGCAAGGCCTTTGGTCTGGCCGGTATCCGTCTCGGTGTTGCATTCACCAGCCCACCAATTGCTCGCCTGCTCAACAGCCTCAAAGCTCCCTACAACATCTCCAGTCCCACCAGTGCAATCGCCCAGGCAGCCCTCTCCCCGAACAACATGTCTGTCATGCGCAACTACCGCGAACAGATCGTCATGCAGCGCGATCGCCTGCTCGCAGAACTCCCCAAGATCCCCGGTGTTGGCCGCTTCCTCGGTGGTTATGACGCAAACTTCCTGCTCATCGAGCTGTTGGACAAGCCGGACGGACAGGCTAGTAACAAGATTGCGCTGGCTGCGTATGAGGCTATGGCGGAGAAGAGAGGTGTCGTGGTGCGGTTCCGGGGTAAGGAGTTGGGTTGTGAGGGAGCTGTGCGGGTTACTGTTGGTACTGAGAAGGAAGTTACCAAGTTCTTGTATGAAATCCGGGTGGTTTTGGATGGGTTGTACAAGGGGACTGATATTGCGTCGTTACGGGAGGAGGTAAACAAGACGGAGGCTAACTAAGTATTTCATTTCGTTTATCTTTTCATTATTGATTCATTTTTTTGTTTTGCATTTGTATAGACTGGCAAGTAGTGCATTTGGAAATAGACGACCTTTCTTGATTACTTTAACTATTAGAGTTTTTGTAAGTTTCCTATTAGGTGGGAGAGAATATCTACTCGAGAAGCCCCGCAAGAACAGTGAAGATAAATAATAGAGGCCCTGGTTTACTTGCCGCTTGCTTGATGATCGTAGTTAACACTAATACTACTTACATATTCAACCCCCGAATTATCATAATAACTGTTCCACCCCGAACATGAAGTTTCAGACTTCCCTCCCAGTGCAAAAGACGAGCAAATGGAAAAGGGTGACTTGATTTTGTGTACAAACGGCACCTTACTGGTCCGAAGTAGTACCAGGAGGCAGCATCACTCTCCAGAACCAACCTTCTCCTTGATCAGCTCCAGGGCCCCGCGTGTCTCCACCCAAGCACGGTACGAGAAGTCCAAGACCAATTGCGCTTCATCGAGGCTCCCACGTGAGTAGGTAGCTGTCGCTGTGCGAGATGCGACTGCAGGTCGAACAAGGTACCCGGAAGTATGTGTTGACCGTGTGCACGATGCAATAGAGTTGATACGCCCGCAACTCCATCTCGAGGGTATCCATCTCACGGCCCGGCTCTTCCATAATGGCCCAGTTGCGATAGATGATGGGGCTACGTGGAACGAGCGAGCGGAAGGGATCGAAGAGCTCACGCGGCAGTTCGTTGAGGCGCGAGACCACGTCTGTGGCACTCTCCAGTGTCTTCAGGTCGAGTAGTATCTTGACATCCAGTAGAGTGAAAGCAACGCATGCGATAGTTTATGAAATTCACCAAGACCCGACTCGTGATGTCCTCGAAGGCGTATGCGTCCTTGACATCCAGGAATCCCAGGTCCATGTTTCCCCAATTTTAATCAGGCTTGCTCCTCGAGGTGAAGTACCACTTGGTAAAGCCGTAGCACTCCTGGTCCCTGTCTGTGCGGGGCATGAGGAATGGCACGAAATCAAAAATACTCATGTTATCCCTGCGGCACAGGCAGAGCATGTCCCGTACGTGCTCAAGTTGCATCTCAACAGAATCACAGACGTCAATACGGCCAAGGGCATCGATGAAACCGAACCGCGTTCTCATGTAGTCACGCGTTCCCAGCATGCCCCAGAAGTGGCCGACGATAGTCTCGAAGGGCCTGGAAGGAATGAAGAAACCATCTCCAGGCTGGTCGCGAAGTTCCTCGTATCCGTCTTCGTATTTGGTGCGTTTCTTGGCCATGGCACTGCAGGTGGACTTTGTGGCCGGCGAAGTGGGAGGGTTGGTGTTCACGGCAGCAGTAACACGTGATCCTGCAACGAGCGCAGCGCATCAAATTGTCGTCCTTGTCGCAGATGCTGCATTTTGTGGTCAGTGGATTAGCGTTGGTCATAGTGGACGTAATTCTCTCGCTGCAGAGATCACTGGTTTTTGTTTAGGGTAGGATATTGGTTGTTGTGGTGATGGTTGAACATATTGAGAGACGCGTGTATGAAAGAAGGGAGAAGAGAAGGGGGGTAGGGGGATTCAGAGCAAAAGGGAGAGAGAAGGTTTTGTTTATATGGATTCAACTCATGCGGTCCATGCGAGTTCAGAACCCGCCCCATTTCCCTGGCCCTAAGAGCTCATCGTGTGTAGAGTCCAACCACGGACAGAGCTCTTTGTTGCCCCAAAAATCCCCTCAAGCAAGATAGCGAAGCTCTCTGATGGAAGTTCAATCCTGATCTCTAATTATATGACTAGAAAACCCAAATTCTAACTGTGGTTAGTCAGCCTTCTGCACGTTGTCAGAACCTTGGACCTTCAACCCGTCATGAGGTGGGCGTCAATAGTTCTGTGCACGATGAGCTGCTTTACCTATGGAACAGGGGTGTTTCATTCCGGCATCATCGCCAACGAAGAATTAGGATTCGATCACGTGGCTCTCATTACAGCGGATTTAAGGGTCGAGGAATTGAAGCGCATGATCAAGGCAGATCTCGAGCATTGAACCCACTACGAAGTGAGGGGCGCTAGGGAGACAAATATGATTATAATGGAGGACAGCAAGAAATATCAGATGGGGTCTCGCATTGAAAATGGTAAAATCAATGGAGAATGATGGTTCATCAAAATGTTCGAATATATTGACCTTATCAGGGGAACAACCTGTTCCTTCGATGCGGTAGACTGGAATATCATGGCGAAAAAGTGCGGCAAGCGAGAGTCGTTTTAACTGAAGGGATGATACTAAGTTGCCATTCCATACCCGGGGAAATCAATTGTCAGACCTTATACAGGGAGGGTTGACGAGAATAGCATGGGCTCCTCGTGGACTCTTCTTATCGACTGGCTTCAAAAGAACGCACGGAAGGTTAAAGGGTTGGACCACGGCGGATGGCTGTTCACCATCCATAGTTGTAACTCATGTCTGCATCATGTGAGCAGTCTGACACTTGGAATAACGGCGCATATGGATACCAGGAGACGATCGAGGGCAATGAAGACAGGGCCTAGTGATGGTACAGACGGCAGCAAAAATAAGAAGTAAATTCTGGACCAAGAATGGTGAAGTCAGCATTCGATGACCTAGAGGTATGGTCCTTATGCTCTGAGGGAGCTGACAGGCTAATTCCAAACCCTTGCAGATTCACTACAAATTTGACTGGCAAGTTGCTATCAACTAGTAATACGGCCCACTTACCGACAAAGCTTTGGCTCGGAATGAACCAAGAGCCGTCGAGAGCTCTTCAGACCATCAACGACGGTAACCTGTTTCTGTCAAGGAAGGTTCGGGCCCGGGCCCAACCAGAGGTAAGTGTCTTGGACTTCTGTCGTAAGCATTGCCATTGAGAAATCTGAATCCCACCGCCTGTTCTTTCAGGCCAATTAAAAGGCTTTAGCGGGCGTTTATTACCCGACTGAAGAGTTGGAGCCTACATCCCCGTCGTGTTGAGATAGGAAATTGCGCATATAGTAGGCTAGACGTTTGCTTGATCTCTATACATGGATCTCGCCAAGGTTGGTTAACGCGTCTTTCACGGGAGCCATCCATAGCCCCGTATTTCGGGGGAACCAGCGTCTAATTGTCTGAAGATCGATTGAGCCGGCGAAACGTTGTGAAGCACTGCGGGCCGCTATCGCGATTATGTATATGCTTTTTGGTGTCAGGCAGATTAATAGAAGTAGATAGGTCTCGGCTATCAACGGTTGCTTTTCTGCCTTTAAGCCATACTGCCCATGGTGTGATGATTTAAGATGCAATTGAACAAGTTGCTCTGTCGAAAAGGTTCTTAAGCATTTCCAGTTTTCAGGCTCTGACCATATCCATATCTTGCCGAGATCCAATAGCTTAAAATGCAATATATGTTAAATGAGGTAAAAATATTGTCTGGAATTTACAGCAAATGATTAAGAACATGACATGTGATACAAAAAATGACAGAGCATCCCAACCATGAATGTTTCTGTTTCGCCCGTACGCCGTGCTCCCCATAATACGTACAAAGTACAGCTTTTTTTTTCTTGAATTTTTCCTCCTGTTCCTGTTTCTCTGGCCTTTTGTGCCTCTCGACGCTGATTTCTGCCCTAGCAGCAATGGGGATGCAGTGCGGAGGTGACGTTCCATCTGGCATCGTAGGGCAGAATTTGCCGTTTGCCAATCTTGACGTTTATTGTAGGAAAAGGTTTATACTGACAATGTCCAAAGTCCATGTCGAGCAGCCCACAGCTTAAATGACCCAGCGGTAACTGGCGTACCGTCCTGCCGTTTCACTCTTCCGGATAATCTTGACGACTTGGCCCCGTCGCAAACCGAGGTATCGTGCCACAGGGTCCGAAACCTGCATACGCGGCAACTGCGATTCCTTCAAACGGTATCGTTCCAGCAATTTGGCTTTCTCCTCGGGGCTCAGCAAAACGTGCTTCGGAACGAGTTCGTGGCGAGTAATGTTAACGAGCAGATCTTGCTCCTGGAAGTGTTCGCAAATACGGCCAGGAATGCCGCTCAGCAGGCGCACAGCGGAGGGGGAGATCGGAGTCTGGGTGATGAAAACTCCGGTGTGGAAGTTGTTTTCGTCGACAAAGTGGTTGAATGCGCGGACCTGCTTGGTACCCACACCAGAGGCGTCGGGGCAGAATTCAACGTAGACGGTTCCGCAGTCGGGTTGAGGGTCGGGGTTCGATTTGCTAGGTAGCGGTGTGTATTTGGCTTGCATCGCTTCGGTGGGACGAGCGCTGACTTTCATCTTGTTGCGACTGCAAACGCAACAGCATTGCATTAGAAAGCTTGGACCAGATAATATCGCGAATAAAGGGGGATAATCGCATACTCAGGATATCCCAGAGGGTCCGAATATTTGGATTTAAACTCGTGCAGAGGGATTTGAACTTCTTCTTCGGTGACCTCGTAGCCCTGTTGAACACACCTGTTAGCGACACTTATGGTCCCCTTTCAAAGCGGCCACTCTGAATCGCATACCCGGTCCTGCAGCATCTCGAAAACTGTCCTCCATGTACGCCAAAGTCTGGTCATCTCGCGGTCGGCATCCGCGGAGCCAGTCGAGTAGTCCTCATCCATGGCTGAATTCAAGGGCCGCAACCAGGCGCTGCTCAAAAATAAAACTTGCGAGAGAAAGAGTAGAGCAAAAATTCAATGGCGCAGCTGGATAAAGGGATTAGAAGCTGTGTTGGGCTGCGCTGACAGGCGAGAAATGGCTGCAATGGCGGTTGAGTGAGAAAAGGAAAAAGAAGTTCTCGAAAAATCGGCGGACCAGCGCTAAAAGCGCCAACGATAAGCGCCGCCCCAAAAGACCAGACTATTATTCACTCCAAAAACACACATTAGCTCCGGGTCCAACTGGCCATTCTGTCTGTCGCTCGTCCGCTCGCTTTTTAATTCAATCCTAGAAGATTGAATTTAGGCCAATTCTTCCCGTTTTCGAGTGTTATTTACTTTCATTCGCTGACAAGATGGCTGCTGTTGCTGCCAACCCGGCTCCTGCAGTCGACCACAAGGTCAAGCCTTCCAAGCCGGATGAGGGTGAATTCAAGAGCAGCTTGGCTGCTGCTGAGAAAGAACACTCTGCTGTTCAAGAGAAGTTGGTATGTGTGTCTTACTAGATCAGTGAGGTTGCGTTTGTTTGATCACCATTGGGCACCTTTTCCTCTGCCTTTGTTTGTTCGTTGGAGAAGAGGAAGATCGTTATTGGTGGCTTATAATTTTATCTATTATAATCTGCAGCCTGATACTAATCCGTCTAAAGAATCAAATCAAGGCAAAGATCGAGACCGCAAAGCCCAACAACCAGGACTCCCCCACGGCCAAGAGACAGCAGGAGCTTCAATCTGAGCTTTCGTCGATCCGTCAAAAGCAGCAAGGATTCAAGGCCTCGAGATCCAGCACTCAGGAGAAAATCAATGGTCTTGACTCCACCCTCAAGGCCCGCCTGGCCGAGCAGAACAACTCCCGCAGTCGTATGTCGTTCAAGAATGTCGAGGAGATCGACCGGGAGATTGCTCGTCTGGAGAAGCAGGTAGACTCTGGTACAATGCGCTTGGTTGATGAAAAGAAAGCCCTCTCGGACGTCTCGACTATGCGCAAGCAGCGCAAGAACTTCGCCGGCTTGAACGAGGGCCAGAAGGTCATTGACGACCTGAAGGCCCAGATTGCCGCGCTCCGGAAGACGCTCGACACCCCCGAGGCCAAGGCCCTCAGCGAGAGATATACGGAGATTCAGAAGGAGCTGGATGCCATCAAGGCCGAGAAGGACAGCGTATTCAAGAACCTTAACTCTCTGAGGGATGAGCGCACCAAGCTGCAAGGCGAGCAGCGGGAGAAGTGGTCCGCGATTAAAGCCATCAAGGATCAGTACTACCAGGGACGCAGGGCGTACAAAGAATACGAGGATGAGGCCTGGAGAGTCCGACGCGAAAAGGCCAAGGCTCAGCGCGATGCCATCGAGCACGAGAAGAAGAGGAAGGTCGCGGACAAGAAGCTGGAAGAAGCCTCCCAGCCTGCCTACAGCGATGATATCTTCACTGCCCAGGGTCTCATCCGCCACTTCAACCCATCCTACGACTTTGCCGCGCTGGGACTTGACGACAAGAAGGACCAGGGTTCCAACTTTCGTGCGGGGGTTGGCCGTACTGTGGATGACTCCGACATGAAGGGTGTCAAGATCCTCAAGAAGGAGGACCGCGAGGACGACTATTTTGCTGGCACCGGCGGTAAGAAGGGCAAGAAGGGCAAGAAGGGCAACAATGCCAATGCTGCTTCTGGCGCTTCCGCGGAGAACAAGTTCAACATGAACGTCGGTATCATTGAAGAATTCGCCAAGATCAAGGTCGACCCGCCTATGAACCAGTCCGATGTTCCTGCGGTGGTTGAGAAGCTTGCTGAGAAGATCGCCGAATGGAAGAAGAACCAGGCCAGCAAGACGGAAGAGGTAAGTATTTTTGATATTGATCTTCTTAAGTTAAGATGCTGACTCCCGAATAGAACATTGCCAAGGCCAAGGAAGAGATTGCCAAACTGGAGAATGAAACCTCCCAGGCCGATCAGCGTACTACCGACGATGCTAAGAAGCCTGCCCAGCAGCACAGCGGTGTCAACGGCAACGCTTCGGCTGAGGCCGAGGTGAACCAGGAGAAGGATGCTGCTGCTGACGCTGCCGAGGATTTGCAGAAGGCCTCTCTTGAAGACAAGGCCTAGATGAAGCACCCTGGTATATAAAAGCCCATCTACATGTGCACTTGTAAGATGGTTGGCATTGCTGGGACAAGCCTTCTGGGCTTGTCTGGAGTAGTCTTTTCGAAAAAGAGAAAAAAGCGCAGCATTTGTATCATTTCTTTGCTGATCTTGGTCCTTTTGCACGAGCATAATCTTTATACGACACTTTCTTTTCTTGCATTTATTACCCAGATTCCTTCTCCCTTTCAGAGTCTGCCCTGGCTTGCATAGATGCTGTCTACCACCGGGAGTTGGTTGTATCTGATATACCCATTTCCCTTCTTTCTTCTTTTTTGGCTCTACTTTCCTGTATATGATTGATTTGCTTTTGTGAAATGCTTACACGCTTCGCCTTCGGATTTGATGGCATCTTGTCCCTGTGGTTCGGACAGTTTCTTTAATCAATGTTCAACATTCACCAGCGATGCAGTCCACTCTGGGTACTGCAAGAGCATCTTGTGAGGACGGCCTCCTGTTCTCATTCGACAAGGTGCTCTTAACGGAGCGTTGGGAGAACAAATCTTAGGCCCTACCTAGGTATTCATCTGTCTCTTTGTCAACTTTGTGTGGCACAGGGCGATGCTTGCGCTTGCAGGTGTCCATCCGAGGATCGAAGGCATCAGTTTCCGGGTTTCTAATTGAGCTTGGCCTTGACCGGTGAAACTGATGTAGGAGAACATCTCGAACATCTCGTAACTTGCTAGTTTGCTAGATATCGTAGGGTGATACATCTTATAACGTAAAATAGGTTCAGTACTTCTGTCACCCGACGCCTTGGGGTTTGCCATGAAGACAATGCAAAAATTGCCCCAAAATCTGATATGTATTGATCAGAACCTCTGTTTCTTATAGGGCATGAGGCAAGTACAAAGTCGGAGGCTATTTTTATTGACAGGCGCCAAGACTTCCTATTCCGGAATCTCCGCCATCGCCGTCAACTTGGTCCTTGGCTCTTCCGCTCTTTTTCCTCTCCCTTTCCTTCTACACTTCTTCTTCCTCCTCTTTTTATTCTTCTTCTATTCTGCCATTTACTGCGCTCTGCTGTCGTGTGCTCAATTTTAGCAGCATTAGCCTCTGCCTGACAGCAGATTTGCAAACTACACAACTGCCGGACTACAGTGTCGCAAAAGGCAACTACATTTCTTCCATCGCAACTTCTACCACCATGTCCTACAACAAACCAGTATGTTAATCTACCCTCGTTCCCTTCTCAAAGTATCCTACTAACAACAATCATCTAGGACTACCCTCCTCCCTCCTACCCAGCACCCGTCCACGATGCCGGCCCCTACCCACAGCAACAACCCGGCGGCGCAGCCAACGACTACTACAACCAAGGCGGCTACCCACCCCAACAAAGCTACGGATCTCCTCCTCCTCAAAACTATGGCTACGGATCGCCGCCGCCCCCGGGTCAACCGATGTACTATCCGCCGCAGGGATATCCGCAAGCGCAACCGCAGCCGGGGTACTATCAGGGTCAGCAGGATCGCGGAGGGTCGACTGGCGGTGGTATTTGCGCGGGTATAATGGCGGCGCTGGCGTGTTGCTGTTGTTTAGATTTGATTTTCTAGGATGATTCGGTGGTCTTACGGGTCTTTCTGGGTTCGGTTTCCTTTGGTTCTCGGTTTTGAACGGCGTATACGGATGAAGGGTTGGGATTACGTTGCTTGGTTTTATCATTATTCTAATTTGTTACCGTCTTCGGTTGTTTCAAGGGTTATTGAATGACGAGTACTTTTACAGCGATCAGACATGGACTTCAATTCAAGCATTCTTATGGATTAAGACAACGTCAACAAGGGGTATGTAAGTGAATTAACAGGGTATCAAAGATCAAGTCAACAAACACGTAAACAGTACTGTTACCCATCACACATCACACATTAAGCAATCATTACCAACAGCCCATAATCCTCCACAACTAGGCCCACCGCAAATAATATCCCTAATCCACACTCCCCCCAGCAGCACCCCAGTCCTCACTTCCCCGTTCATACGGATCATCCGTCCTCCTCGCCCTCCTCGACTTTCTCTTCTTCCTCCTCTCCCTCTGCATCGGCGGCGGCGGCGGCATAGGCGGAGGAGGTGGCGCATAATACCCATCCCCTTCCTCCATAACCTCGACCGTCCCCCCATCATCCGTCGACCGATCATCCGCCTGCCGACCCCTACCCCATCCCCACCAACTCCTTCCCGCACCCCTGTCTCTCTCCCTCTCCCTGACAGGTTCTCTGCGCGGGCTCTCGATGCTCTCTTCCTCGTACACGTCGACAAAGTCACCGCCTCCTTCCTCGCTACCGCCGTAGCGACTACCACCGCCGCTGCGGCCGCCACGACCCCAGCCATTCCATGCGCGGCGTGGACGCGCACGCGGACGTCTTACTTCCTCGACTTCGACGGTAGCAGCATCGTCGATTGGTTTTTTGGGGATGAATGTTGCGTATAATAGGTAAAGGAGGAGGAGGAATCCCGCGACAGTACCGAGGACGATACCCACTACTGTGCCCGGGGCTGGGGAGGTGTCTAGGCGGCCGTAGGCGGTTGCGGGGAGGGAGACGGTTTGGTAGCGGCGGTTTATGGTGTGAACGGTTGAATTGTCATTGTTGGTGTTGGCGAAAGTGGTAGAGTTGTCGGTGTTGGTGTTGGTTGTTTCGGAGAGGAAGCGACGGAGGATGAGGAGGGGTGTTGTTATTGATGAGGAGGATGGTAGCGGTGGTGAGGATGAAGATGGTAATGATATCGAATTCATTCTTTATCGCTCTCACTCGGTTAAATTGAAGAGATAGATCAGAAGAATGCGTCGCAGATATCAGACTTGCTGGTATGGCAGCATAGCCCTATTCGCTGATGGTGGTGAGCAATTCCAGCGACGAGATGTTCAGGCACGAGGACATGGATGCAAAATGCCAAAAGTCGAAGTGTAATGCAGTAGCATCAAGAGAGAAATCGGAGCACAGGACAAGAAAAGTGGGAAAATGACGGGGCCAGCGATGGGGACGGGTTAAACGGGGATGATAATGCGGTGGCTGGGGATGATCCTCCGATTGAGTTGGCTCAGGATAGTAACAACAACGCCATTATTATTTTCCCTGTGCTTCTTATTTTCGATGATATGATCTAGGTGGTTTCTTTCCTATTGAGAGGTATGCCATGTTTGCAAATGTTTATTTTTTCAAAAGCCTTCAACTACTACTACTATACAAAAGATCTCATACTATACCGAACATCATCAATACACCCTTTTCCTCGCCTCGTACTTCGGTTGTTCAGCCGCTTTCACCTCCTTCAAACCCGTCTTCACCGGTCTCTCATGCGACAACTCAAAACTACTCAATCTCGCCCCCTCCTTTCCCAGTGCCCAAACACTCACCGCGACCCAGTTTGTTCCACGGTGGTTCAGAATTCCCTCTGGCACCGGAAAGCTAGTTTGTGGACCAATGTTGCTAACGTATTTACCGTATTGGTAGCCGTTTACGTAGAGTTGTGCTCTAAATGGCGCTGGGTTGGAGTCTGTGCTGTTGCCAAAGTTGAAGTAGATGGGCACGTCATATTCGCTAGGGATGGAAAGGTCGAAGTTGGTGCTGTAGAATCCGATGCCGGGTTTTGAAAGGCCTTCTAGAGGGCTTGAGGACTTCCAGTCTGCACTAGGGGGCTCCGGTTGGTGGAAGCCGTATCGCTCTGCGTATAGACCACCTTCGTTCAACGGCCCTCGTGTCTTGTCCTGGTAATCCTCACCACCCAGGTTGCCAGTTAGCTTCCATGTAATTGCATCCTGGCTTCTTCCGGACAGGCTGTAGTTCAGGATTCCACGGGGGTTTTTCATCACGTCAGCGCCAACGTCGAGGTTCTCGTCGAGTCCCATGTTGTCAATGACAACGATGAACACGTAGTTCTTGCCTTGCTGGAGGCTAGGCAGTTTGTAAGTCGAGTTATTGTCTGAGTCTTGGTTCAATCCGGACCATGAGCCCAAAAGGGTCTGGTTAAGCCACACAGAGCTTCCGAAGGCTTGCCCTCCCTGCGTGCGGATGAAGAAGGTAGACTCATTTCCCTGTGCGACAAACGAACCCCGGTAGACCAGATAGCCCGTGTGGAAACCATAGTCGGAAGAGTAAAGTGATGTTGGTGTGTCCAGTGGGCGATGGTCATTGTCCGTGATAGGTTTATCTGCCTTTGGCCATGCAGAGTCATCATACGAAGACTGGATCTCTGGAAGTGTGTCCAGATACTTCCATTCGAGGTCCTCCAGGCTGGGAAGGTCAATCTTTGGAGCCGTAAACTTGACCTCTGAGGTCCAGATGCCGTTCTTATCTACCTTGTGCGAGACTTTTTCGTTGTTGATGTAGAGGGCCTGGGCGCTTTCTGGTGCACCGATAACCTCAATAGGTGTTGTTGTGTTGAAGTCTGCGGTGAGGTAGAGACCACTGTCCTTAAGGTAGGCTGTTCGCACGAGGTATCCGGCTTTGACTATGATCGACGAGGCAGTATTCTTCTCATTACTGTATCCCGGCGTGGTTCCTTCAGCTGGAATCTCAGGGACCCAGTAGTTGTAGGCAGTGTTCCGGTCTAGTTGATGTCAGTCTCATATCCCTCTGTATTCTTGTAGAAGCAAGTCTTACCGAGGAGGAAGATCTTCAGATCGTCAACTTGAATAATGCGGCGGGTGGACGAGACATCCCAGGAGATGACCACATTGCTACCAATATGCTTCGAGTTGATATCCGATTCGGAGCCCTCAATAACAGATGCCTCGGACTTGGACGCAATAGCCAGTTCATGATGCTCTCCAGGGCCACCGTACAAGATGAGGACTTTGCTGTCAGCAAACTGCTTCCAGGTGAAGACCTCCGCAGTTGAGTATACAATGTTAGTCCCAGACACATTGTAATCAGCAACGTGGACCTTCGAGTCCCGTCCATTCAGCGACAACTCTCCTTCCAGCTGTGGAACCGTCACATTGCCAGAGCTAGTAGCGAGTCTGAGCTTGTACGGAGTTGATGCCTGGCTGCTATAGTCTGTATGCCGGACCACATAGTACGAGGTCAATCCTTCTGCTTTCAGAGGTGTGACAGTCAAATTAGAAGTATTCGTGTAGCCCGTTGTCTGATTACCAGGATCAGCCAGTAAATATGACGGAGAGACCTTGACAAAGTTGCCGAAGAGCTTAAGCTCGCTGTATTTTTCGCGAGTTATGTTGCGGGTTTCACTCAGCACTGAGCCATAATCGTAGGATGTGTATCCGCCGGGGTGACCAAGGTTACCCCAGTTGGTGCCACCGAATATCATATAGAGGTTAAAGATGGCAACCCGGAAGCTAAAGTTGTTCTTATAGAACACTCTCTCGAACTCATGGTTGACTAGGTCGGCACACGCAGCAAATCCCGGTCCTCCCCAAGGATCGTAAGCTCCAGCTTGGAACTCAACCAGAGAGTACGGGGTCGTTGGGCTTTGCTCTTCGTGCAGAGCCCAGAAGCTGGTGGGCAAGTTTCCTTCTGGCCATACAGACGGGTTTGCGCAATCAAATCCAAGAGGGTAACTGTCATGACCGTAGATATCAGCCGCTCCTTTTCCCGTGCTTGGCGCATTATGTCCGTCAGGTGATGCATCGTTGCTAATCATTGGCACGACAATCCCAGCATTTCGAGCTTGATTAATCACATATTGAAAGTAATCGGGATCAGGGAACTCTTCGCCACAGCAGCCATTTGTATATTCGTTTTCTGGTTGGTAGAGGATGACCGGTCCACCATTCGTGATTTGCGCTTTCGCAATGGCAGCACCAATTGTGGCGATGTAGCTATCATGTAGTGTCAGCAAAATTGTGAACATCCACTTGCAGGGAAATTTTGCATACTTGTCAGTCGCATCCAGAAACCCTTTGTCCGCCGTGCGAAGGGTGCCATTGACCCGTTGCAGCCATCCGGGAAATCCACCGCCAGAGCTTTCAGCATTGACATAAGGACCGGGCCGAGCAAGCAGGTAAATACCGGCCTCCTTTGCTGCTTCGAAAAAGGGCTCCAGAGCGAAGATTCCCTCAGCTCGGTAATCACCTGGCTTTCCTTCCAGCAAAGCCCAGTCCGTGTAGAATGAGATGCAGTTGAACCCGAGCGCTTTGACCTTTTGGAGGACATCGAGCCATAGAGACGGGACCGGAAGTCTGCCATGCGCATTAGTCTTGTCAAGGTTTTCTGATTTTCCAGGCAATTCATGTCGCACCTGTAGGGGTGGAATTCACCACTAAAAATCATGATCCTCTCTCCATTAATGGAGAGAGATTTGTCATCCCAAGTCACCTACCACCTTCATCAGCATATTTCACCGGTAATGAGCAAGAAAAACATACATATTTCTGCAACAAATCCCGCTTCACCGGATCCGGATGCTCCGTAATAGTAAAGCCATTAAGCTTGTGCTTAATGGCCGCACTAACTGCCTGAGTGGCCAGCGAGGCCATCGCACAGAGCGTGAGCAGCTTCATGACGTCTTGGCTCGACCTGTACTCAACACTGGAACTAGCTAGCAAAGCTCGAGGAGAAGCTCCGGACTTTATATAGCCCTAATGAGTTATTTCCCCCGCATCCAGCGTCATTTGCCCCGGCAGGAAGGCGAAAAGTGGAGCCCGGATAATAAGCGGATAATAGCATTAGGAATAGTACTGGTTAGGGTAATGTGTAGTAAGACCCTTTGTGCAGGGTCAAGGGAATGCCCGTGGGGAAATGACGGGAAATGCCGAAGATTACCCAGACCGTCATCTATGTACCCCGCATTGGGACAATGCAAGTATCAAGCCATAATATAAGCAAAAAAACATTACATTTGGATACCCTTGGCTTTAATATTGCTAGATACTTGGAAGAGGTGCATCTCGGAATATAGCATACGTTGAGTTTGTGGCATATGCTTCATGAGCAAAGACATTTTAAACCAATATGCGTCTGCTCTTCGCACAAAGACAGTGCTCTGGTACGTAGATAAAACACCGAGCTTGAGTATATTGACACGCATATACATTACTAGCTACGCTGTAGTGAAGTGTCATCAGCTTCTTTCTGGGTTGGACCACGTTGACAGAAAGTGACTTACCTATGTAACTAGAAGTTGATGATCAAATGATAGAGCGTGACAGTCCCCAGTCAATGTTTGCAGTGAAGCGCAACAAAGTGAAAGCAATGAACCCAGTGGCTAAGCATACATCGATTCCTTCTTTGAAAGCCATATCCACCAAGCTCAGCCCTGGTGACGGAATCATTCATGTGACTCTTATGCCTGAATCATCCCTAGAGAAAAAGTGGGATAGAATGAACCAAAAAACCAATGAGTTCGTGTGCTGTCAGCTCTGGGCCATGTTCCCGAAGATATGGGATATCCCTCGCCCACTGGAACTGATTGACGGCCCTTTCCAGTGTATGGTTGATGGATCCCAACGACCAGTCCACTACTCGAGGATTTGGATCCCGGCTCACCACAGCTACTAATGAGTGATTCCGACATATAAGACCGCATCTATCAATGCTACTTACACTTCGGAGGCCGTCTCCATAAGGACCAACTACCCAACATGCTGCCTCGTGCTGATCGTTCTGTGTTTACGCGTGATGATATTGCACCGTGCAATATTATAGTGGATGAGGGGGTATTGTTACGGGAATAGTTGATTAGGAAACCGCGGGCTGGTATCCAGATTATTGGAGTATGCACAGATTATGAGGCCTGCTATCAAGCGTGCGGGTTGGTTTGCTTGGATGGCGAAGACGGCGTCGAGGAAGTGGGATGTTAGGGAAATTGATACGGTGAGGAAGTTTCGCTTGATCGTCAGAGGTCAAATCCATAAAGTGGCATACATAATACAATAATAATAGCAAACAAACAATTACTTTTCCTCTATCTAACATCAAATGCAAAGGCCTACACTAAACCGTCGTATTGAAGCGATCCTCCTCATCTCCAGCCTTAGTCCATGTCTCTCTCTGCTCCATCTGCTCCTGCTGATCCTGGCCCAGGATGAGATTCTCATCCTGCATCGCTTGTTCCTCTGTGGCAGCAGCGATGCCAGCCGGCTCTGCATTGTCTTCGGTTACGGGAGTTGCGGAGGTGGGACTGTCAACAACATTCTGGCGTTTCTGGGTGGTGTTGACGAGGCTGACGTCCTGGCCAAAGACTCGGAGGAGCATTGCGCGACGCTCTTCCTTGGGAAGCATGAGGTTGACAGAGTGGAGTGAACGCCAGAGAGGGAAGACCATTCGCTCCCTGTAAAAAGTGCTGTTAGCTTCTGCGCCTGGTATTAAATAAAAATAAAACGGTGAACCATACTTAAGTCCATCTTCCTGGCCGTTAGGCTCAATGTACAGGATACTGCATCCCATATCAATATCCCTGACCCGCTCACCAATCTCACCCAGCTCCTTCCATGCCTCTCCATCGACCTTAGGGAACATCTCCACCAAAAGCCTCCGAAGAGTCTCCTTCTTGGTCAAGGTAACGCTACGAGCAGGTCCGAGCCAAGGCTCAAAAAGTCTCAACCCGTCAGTCTGGATACGCCAGCGGCAGACTTCATTGCGCTGCGCATCCTGCTTGACGAACATCTTGACACCGCAGTGCACGAACTTGATACCCTGGCCTTCGTTCTGGGTCAGGATGTCCCGTGCCAGTGCACTGGAATAGTAGATCGTCCTGGTTGGGATTGCTTGGGCATTCCGCACCAGGAAGCGGTCGCGCGGGAAACGGTCAGAAGCCTGGTAGAAGCGGTAGATCGGGTCGAGTTCCTCGTGGTTCGCAGGTAAATATTTGAAGGGCTCTTCGAAGGGTTGGCCCGGCTTCTTCTTGGGTGGGGGTTGAGCCTGGGATTCAGCGGGCACGATGGGTTGAGCTGCTTCGGTGGGGACAGTCTTCTCAAGCTCAGCACCAGCCGCAGGCGGGGGAGCATGAACGGGACGGTCACCCATGACAACTTCGCTGCCATCCTCGACCTTGACGCGCTTGGTGGGAAGCTGAGGTTCGTCGTCTGGCTCCCTCTTGGTAGATGTCGCTGGGACTGACGATTCGAGCGTAGCGGAGTACGGGATCTGGTGCGAGGCCTGTGCAACAGTTTCATTCTTCGCAGCCTCCTCCTGAGCCTGCGCATCGGGGGCAACCAGGTCGTCTAATGCCTCGATCTTCTCCAGGGTTTGACCGCTTCCATTCTTCTTGTGGTCGAGCTCTTCGGAAAGCGCAGCAACGGTTCCCTTGGGAATCACCTTCGAAGAGTCTTCAGGCTTGGCCTTAATCTCAGACAGCTTCTCCAACACAGTGATGAAGAAACCGCCGGTGTCTTGCAGGTGGGGATAGATACGAGTGCATCTTTCCAGAGGGATATCAGCGTTATTGCCGGTAGGAGGGAACATGCCTATCGCAATCCGGCCAAGTCCGCTGATGCCTTCTTTTTCTCTTTGTTCCTCAACTTCTTGCCAGTTGTTCCACATCCGGCCCTCACGGTCCATAACCTTCCAGGTCTTCAGACCAGGGGCCCGCTTGAGGCCGGCAAGCTCGTTGCTGACATCGACAATCTTGACGTTGGCCGAGCCACCGCATCGGTCAATTGCGCTTGCTATAATAGCCTCGTTCTCCACAGGGTTCATACTGCACGTCGAGTAAACAACCCGTCCACCGACCTTCAGCATCTGTAATGCGCGGACAAGAATCCGGGCCTGTGTAGCGTGCAGTCCCAGAGCGTTCTGAGGACTCCACTCCTTCCAAACACTGTAGTTCTTCCGGGCAGTACCATCACCAGAGCAAGGCACATCGGCAAGGATACGGTCAAACTTCAAGTATCGGTTCTTCGAAGGCTTTCCGTCGGTGCCCGGCAAGGGAGGAAGTTTGATAGAGGGGTACATCGTAGCATCGTGGTTCGTGACGATCAGATTCGGTGAGTTCAATCGCTTCATCTGGTGGATCAACATGTGCGCACGCTTGTAGTCACTGTCGTTTGCTACAAGCAGGCCCGTAGTCCGGCCGTCATCATTCAAACCCTCAGGCCCAATGCCATCCGGACCCGCAGTCCCATTCTCAATCTCCTTGGCAGCCTGCAGCATGGTGTCCTCTTCGCCCGCGTGGAGCGACTCCATCAACTGCGCAGACTTGCTACCCGGTGCGGCGCACATGTCCAACACCGTCATGCCAGGCTTGACATCAATCAAAAGCGGAGGAATCATGCTGACCACCTCCTGTCGGCTGATATTTCCGACCTCCGTCTCTGCGACAAGGAACTTCTGGAATGAAGCGAACGGCGCGAAACGACGGACGACGTTCTTAGGGGTGGTCATCGACCAGGCAAGCTGGTCCGGGTACCAGGGAACTGGAGTTGGCGGCTCGACATGGTTACCCTCGTACTGAATGGAAGTGATCTCCGGGATGTAATGATCCCTGAGGCGTTCTTGGACAGCAAGCGCATGCCTTTAGGAATGCGACACCGGTTAGTTATCAACCTATCTATCAAATCGCAAACTGATTCTGCACATGACGTACCCTCGTGACCCCGTAAACCGGAAGCTGTTTGGCAAATCTCTGCGCAGTGCCTCCCAGAATGCTTCCTTCTCCTCTTCGGGAATGGCTCCAAGCTCATTGTAGTAGCGCTCGAGCTTCTCGTTTTGCTTCGGGATGTCTTGATAATTCTGGCGCGGCGCACGCCCGCCGCCTCTACCGCCGCCTCTGCCAGACTGCAACGAGGGGAAGTGTGTTAGCGGATGGTTCAAATATACATGCATACAGATGAATTGAGTCAGCTCTTACCTTCTTACCACCGCGCTTGCCCATTGTGAATGATATTGAGTATTGGGGATATCACGCGTTCTCACTCGAACTTGTCTCGAAGCTCCAAAAATCGTCCACCGGAATAACGCCGGACCGGTATCGATTAGATAAGCCATTGGGGTTTCACCAGTTCTTACTTGAATCTTGTTTGAGCAGCAAGCAGTGTTGGCGGCTATTACTTGGTACTAATACAAAATAAGAACAAAAAAGAAAACGTGTTTTTAAGATATCAGTGGAACAGTTTATACTGTACATACAAGACAACGCTGCTTCCGCTGCGACTATCACATCCCCTTCTATCTATTAGTCACCAACATAACAAAAGGAAATGAAGACAAGACAGTGGTGGCCATAAAACATCTTGGAGAAAACACTGTTGTTAGAGTAATGGCATTTTTACAGGGTCATCCGGGTCATGTCGTTGCGGATTCTCTGGTAGTCAAGGATACCCTCAACACTGCCGACAGCACTCATGGCGACATCCTGGTCCCAGAGCTTGCGGTTGGCAAACTCCATAACGTCCTTCTCGGTGATCTGACCGATGGTACGCTCAATGTCCTCGGGCGAGAAGCGGCGGCCAGTGGTGATGATCTGGCGGCCAATGTCCTCAGCAACGGCAGTGGTGCCGTCAAGAGAGAGGAGCATAGAGGCCTTGAGCTGAGCCTTGGCACGCTCAACCTCGGCGGCATTGACGTTGAAGCACAGACGGGTCCACTCACGGAGAGTGAAGTGAATGAGGTCGTCGAGACGAGTCAGGTTGTCGGAAACAAGGTAGATACCCCAGAGACTGCGCAGGTTCAATCAGTCGCTGCTTCGAATGATATGTATGTCAAGAGAACTTACCCGGTGTCGCTGTAGCTAGTGGAGAAACTCATGAAGCTGTTGGCAAGGCCCTGGTAGTTGACCAGAGAGCTGAGCTTGCTGCCGAGGTAGGGAGAGTTACCCATGGCACGGTCCCAGTTGCCAATGATAGCCTGAGCAACCAGACCGGTGAAGTAATCATCGTCCTTCCAGCTCACACCTTCGACGGCAAGGGCAATGTGGGCAGAGGGGAGGGTATCATCACGGAGTCTGACTTCGGAGCCAATGAACTCGGGGGCGCGCTTCTGCTCAGCCTGGAGGGCCTGGGCAGCAGAGGTCAGAGGCTTGTTGGGGAGGCCACCAAAGTGCTCCTCGGCAAGTCTGACAAGCTGCTCGTGAGGAACACCACCAGCGCCGACGAGGACCATGCGGTCAGCGGTGTAGTTGGTCTTGATGTAATCGACCAAGCTGTCCCGGGAGATGGTCTGAATGTTCTCCTTGGGACCGAGGATTGTACGACCAAGGGGCTGGCCCTGGAAAGCGGTGGCGTGAAGGTGGTCGAAGACAACTTCCTCGAGCTGCTTATCAACCTCCTCTTGCTCACGGAGGATCACATCCCTTTCACGCTCAATGGCACCGGGTTCCAACTTCGAATTCTGGAGAATGTCTGCGAGGATGTCGACGGACTTGGGGACGTCGCTGTTGAAAGACTTGGCGTAGTAGACGGTATTTTCTCGCTAAGGAAAGCCATTAGTGTGCTTCTTCCACTGTATCTTCTTCCCGAATCGTACCGATGTGTAGGCGTTAAGGTGCGCACCCATGTTCTCAATTTCGAGTTCTAATTGATGCTGGGATCTCTTGTTGGTACCCTAGCCCATTGTCAGCGAATCCGCATACCAAGAATACCTGTCATATGTCCGTACCTTGAAAGCAAGGTGCTCAAGGAAGTGCGCAGTTCCGTTCGTCTTGTCGGTCTCTGCCCGGCTACCGGCATCGATCCACACACCAACGGTCGAGGTCTGAGCCCATGGCGAGTGCTCAGTCGCAATCTAGTACCCCTCATTAGCACACCGGCGAATCAATTGGAAACAATCTTGAGAGTTATGATCGCGTACCGTGAAGCCGTTGGGGAGAGTGGTGGACTGGGTGGTGGAGGGCAGGGAAACCGGCGAAGCAAAACCCCGTCGCACCGGCTTGATGGCGTTAATAGCCTGGCGACTCCGGAGAGCCTGCTGAAAGCTGTATGCTAGACGGCGGGAAGCCATTGTGACCCGTGTATGGAGAATAAATCCAAAGGAAAAGCGGGGAGGAGGGAGGGAGGGATGATGGTAGAGGTGCAGCGACGGTGAGGTTGAGGTTCGGAAGTCAAATTGTTCGCCAACTCGTCCAGCCAATCACATGACCCGCTTTTCCAAACCTGCCCATTCGATCCCGAACGTTTCCTACGGCAAAAGGGAACAACAGTAGTGTATTCTACGGCTTACAGACCACGAGAAAGGACGATATGAATTATTTTGGAGGTGACGACCAGTGCTAGGGCTATCGTTTCTCAGTCAGGACCATGACCTTAATCATCAACATTCGGGCTCACGGCCGGAATGGTCTGTTTTCCTGGGGATTACAAAATACGGCCCAAGGTAATTGATTCCAGTCATATTCTTCCAATTGGGTTTATAAATTCTCAGAGAGATTTAATAGACATAGAAAAAAACACAGGACGACATCTCTAAGCAAGTGAAGCCGCATATTGCCGAATATTTTCGACCATGGAAATATCCTCCGAGAACCCCAGCTTCAACGCACGCGCCGTCTCAAAATCAGGAGTCCACGTCTGAACGATCCGATCGATACCTACATCGTACTTCTCCTCCACCAAACCCCGTCGCTCCAATCCCCCGATTTGCTCCAATGCATCCAGCATTTCCTGGATACTGACCTTCAATCCGGGAAGATTGACCGACCTCGACTCCCCGAATGCCTCCTTTGGAATCGTCCGAGCGTGCAGCAGGTTCTTGACTACCGTGTACGGCGAACAGATCCACATTTCAACCGATTTTTCGACTGGCAAGACAGCCTTCTTTCCATTGAACGGTTCTCGGATGATGTCGCTGGCAAAACTGCTAGCAGCCTGAGTAGGCTTCCCAGCTCGCACTGTCACCGTTGGCAATCGAACAGCCCGGCCGTCCAAGAATCCTCGTCTCGAGTAATCGTTCAGCAAGGTCTCCACGATCAGTTTCTGCGATCCATAGGAAGAAGACGGCACGGGAGGGAAGTTGGTCTCATCGATGACCAGACCCGCCGGTGCGCGGCCATACACAGCCAGGGAGGATGTAAACACCACCTTAACACCAGGCATCGTAATGCGTAGTCGATCCAGGATATACCGTGTTGCGTCTAGGTTGACGCGGATTCCCAGCTCGAAATTCGCCTCGGAGCCACTAGACATGATCCCGTGGAGAAGATAAACAGTATCGAATCGGTTGCTCTCGTTGATCAATTCATCAATCACTTTGGTCGATGTGAGGTCGGCCTGGACGCTCTTCGCACGGGAGGCATGTTGAGCGGCAGATGCCGGTAGACTGGGTGCCACCACGTCTGTCAAGATCACTGAGGCATCAGGTAAATTTGAAAGAAGCGACGCAGCCAATTCCTGGCCGACGTAGCCGCTGGCTCCGGTAATAAGTATCGACATGGTTGGCTGTAATATAGTAGTAAACGTCCCTGAGATAAAAGATAGCGATATAGATCGACTACAGACACGGGGAGAGAAAAGAGAATGTCGAATATCTGAAATCGGGCAACTTCATATGCTCAATGGCAATCTTATATACACTTGGTCCTTGGGCATGGCATTATCCCCGGGAACTTCTTTGCGGGGTCGAGTGGAGAGGAGAGCATCTTTGTCTCTCGTAAACAGACGTATTTATCTCGGATTGTTTCCTGCATGGCATCATGCTGAAGTGACATGCACGCAGATATTCCGAGATGACCATGGGTTCAGGACGGCGAAGCTCCGAGAGACGAAAGTTTAATCGGTTTCTTAGAAGGGTTCCTAAGCCAATGAGTTGCAAGGCAGCAAACCATTTATATTGCAACATAGTCCAGATTGAAACTAAGCAATGTTTCCAGACGTGTACATTCTTTTTTAAAATACCAGAAGTACATGTGTAGAACACCTCAACATACAGCCAAAAACGAAAAATATAGGAAAACATTTCAGCATATCACAAAACACTCGACGCCAGATATAAAAAAGACAAGACACAGAGCATGAAATGATTAGACATGACGAGAAAAGATAAGAAACCGGAATTAAATCACCACTTTTATGCAGAACGCTTGTAGATACCAGACACTATACAGTGGTCACGTTCGAAAGGCTCAAGGGTAAGCTGCTCCTTGGGCTTTATTCTCTCCTCTCTCATCTTCTGGACCTCCCGAGCGAAAACAACCTCGGGCTGGGCGGTACTGTCGATACAGTTGGCCTTGACGGAAACAATGACACCACCCTCTTCCTTGAGGAACATGTGGGCGTTGAGACCAACGATACGGGCCTGGTCGGGCTGGGCAACGTCGGCGAAGATGCAATCGACCATGGGGACGAGCATACGGTAGCGGAGAGGGTGTCTGGCGTCCTCGACGATGGGGATGACGTTGGTACGGTGGGTGGCCATGCCAATCAGGTCACGACCAGAACGGTGGGAGAACTCAACAGCATAGACGTTTCCGGTAGGTCCGACAATATCGGCGACATGACTGACGGAGGTACCGCTAGCGGAACCAAGGTAGAGAACCTTAGCGCCAGGGCGCATGTAGATCTCATCCAGACCACCAAGAACACCGGCAGCAAGCTTGCTACGGAAGGGGTTCCACACACGGTACTCAGTCTTGGTGACAGCGCCGTCGTCGGCGGGAGTCTCAACGGCAATGCGCTTCTCACCGTAGACAGCCTCTCCAGGAGTCAGGTTCTTGGTAACGAGCAAGTCCTCCTTACCGCCGCGGGCAACGAAGATACCGCCGTGACGGTGAGGTTCCTAGGTAACAGATTTGTTAGTTAATTTCGCACGTCAAATTTGAACACTTTCAACAAGTACTTACAACGATGACCTTAGCACCACCTTTGGCACCGCCCTTGGGACCACCACGGCCACCACGCGGAGCACCACGGCCACGGGGAGCACCACGGCCGCCACCGCGAGGGGGACCACCACGGCCACGAGGAGCAAAGCCGCCTGAAGACGCAATGAGTTAGCAACTCTGTTTCCCTCAGATGAACATCACAGGGATATGGCATTGTCCGAACGATGGATTGATTGGCCTTCTATGCCGTTGAGATTGGTATACTAACCTCGGCCACCGCGAGCACCACCACCACCACGGGGAGCACCACGACCACCACCACCACGGGGGGGTCCACCACGTCCTCTAGGAGCGAAAGCCATTGTATATTATGATTTCGATGTTTATTTGGTTTGATTCAAGGTATCGGATCACTTTTTCGCAGGCAATTCAGTTGATAGACAACCGGGAAGAGCTCTGCAGAAAATTTCGAAGAGAAAAGATAGGCGATAAAAAACGCAAAAAGCGAGTCGGAGACGATAAGAATCAAGAGTCGCAGGTGTCAAATGAACTGAATTAAGCAATTTGCGCAAGAAATCGCACCTGCAATAGCTTTCAGAACTCGCTCAACGCCGTGCTGCTCGTCGTTGTTGCGGTCGAGAATTTTCAGACGGAGCCTTTGGATCTTTCGAAAATCAGAACGCGCTAGGCTGCATCTGGAATAGCGCATTTCCGAAGTGGTGTGGGCACGTGTTGGTCACGTGTGTTTGTCCGATATAGCGAGGTCACATGATCTCATAAAGCCCTGCTCTCATTGGTCTCAAAAAAGAGGTTCTTTTATATTGAACGGCAAGGGCGAGATCACCAATGACTATGATGCTTCTATTATTATACTATTTCAGTGAATACTGGGTTGGAAAATGGAGGGGTTGCGCTGGATGGCTTCCGGCTGGGCTCTCCGGGGACTTATTTCGAAATAACAAGGTCCAATCAACTTCATGCCAATCTATATACAAAAAAAAAAGCCCATATGAACGCTAATCCTCACGATTCTTCCCCATAGAAATAATAATTTGCCGCGTACTGAACTTCAATAACTGATGGCATGTTCTCACATGTCTTAGGCGCTGCTCCTCCGGCCGTATTCACCCGATAGACGCTCTTATAATCTCCAACGGTGCCACTTATAGTCGACAGATAAAGCCACTCTACAGCCCCATCATCACCCTGCACAGCATCTGAGGGTGCGTCTACTTTCTTTTGCACTTTAGTAAATGCGATCCCGTACTGCTGCGACGGCGTGGTGTCGAGGTTGAAAACTGGTGTCGAACCCTGGAAAAAGTGATGACCCAGCAAGTCGACATTTGCAGCACGAAGGATGGAGGAATAATTATTAATAGATTGTATTTTGTAGGCCGTGTTCGGGAGTGTGGCAACCATGTCCGGGTCACTTGCTGCGATGCAAGTGACATTGTAGAGGTTTGCCACGGCTCCTATGGCTTCAGGGGTCGAGTCGGAGGTAGATGTTGCGCAGCTATAGTTCTGGTTCTGGAGTCAGCTCTCTAATGTCGTAGGTTTTGGGAGGATATTCCTTGCTTACCTGTGTACCACGTCCGACTGCAACATAAATGGGCATCTGGCCGTCAGGAACGGGAAGACCAAATCCTGATTTTGGTAGCGAGATTCGGGATGTATCGCAGGTAGTTGATGTGTCGAGTAGTTGCTTTATGTCTTGAATTGGTTCAGTGAGTGTGCTCAAGGCATTCGTTAGCCCGCGTAGGAGCGTTGGTGCGGCAATGGAGCTCGTTGCCAGGCTGGCACCAAGGAAGAGATTGAGACGCATGTCAAAATATTTGTCGAAAAGGATATGTTGTGACTTAATGACCGGTGCGTGCTTGAGGATTGATTTGTGCCTCGTAGGGTGAAGGTTGGGGTCACTCAATGACTTTGTTCATGCAGCTAGGTAAAACTTGCTTCGGAGGTATGGGCGAAGCAAACTCGCAGAAGTCAAAAACAATCAATGGCTTAGCTGCGTATTAGAGGAAAAGCAAGATATGGAGTTAGGAAATAGGCAGGGGAAAACCTGACGATCCCATCCAAACCTGGCGACCTTGGATGAATATATATACCCAGTATGTCAGCACCATATCAGCCCCCACCACAAGGGCCCCATGCCAAGAATAGAAACTTGCAAACTAGACCAACGCAGAATTCAAATCATGAGTCTAACACCAGCATCAGGTAAAAAAGCTTCCTGCAGCCGCCCATAACGATGAAGGTGGGATGGTGTCATTTCATTGGCGAAAAGTTAAGCGCCTGGAAGGACCATGCGCCGGACGAAACTCTGCAGACTTCCGATACCGACCAGGGATGGAATTTGCTCGATCGATTCAGCCCTACTCAAGGCTGATGTCCAATCAGGAGGTTTCCTAAACACCCCGGCGCCTAAATATATCTCAACTTCAATGCGTTGTCTTACATATTGGTCGGCGGCTAATCCGACTACCAGAATCGGCTAGTGTGAAGAACTGCAAGAGGAACCGGGTGTTTGTCCTATTTGTTCGTTTTCTTTCTCCAGTGTTGCATGTGGTGCAGAATGTTGCAGATTGCAATATGAAGACAGTGAATGCCGATCTATTTTCGGACATGCAGAAACACTCGAGGTTACTCGGGCGCCAGCTGAAACGACCTTTTGGCTATAGTACATACCCCTCGTATCCACGGAGTATAGTTGATATATTCTCGCTGGAGTGACGAACAATGTAGACATAAAAGGCGACACTACCAAAAAGAAAAAAGCGATATGTAATCGCAGAAGAAACCTGCAATCACACAACAGCCCGGGTGGTCTAGTGGTATGATTCTCGCTTAGGGAAATAACCCAAGCATATCTGCGAGAGGTCCCGCGTTCGATCCGCGGCTCGGGCCGTTTCTTTTATTTTATTTTTATTTTTGTTTTTTTTTGTTCCCTTGGAACTTTCTGCTCTATATTGTTTGATCTTTGCCTGACCAAAGGGCATTCATTGTAAGACAGACAATACTTGTTATATTGAGAGTGGAAAGGGGAGAATTGGTATGGCAGCAAGTGAATCTATATTGTCTGGGACATATCTAAAACTACAAGGTTAAGCTAAGCATCACGGATCCGGACCCAATTCACCATCAAACGCCGATATCGCCTGAAGCAAAGAATATCCGTAGATATCAAATTCACGGCTAACTCAGGCGATAGTAAAAGAAACATATCAAACGCCAACAGTACATCGTACAAAAAAGCGCAATGATCATGCACCATTGAACCCCTCGGGCTGCCAATCATCACTCCGTAACTGCCCCCCGGCATAACCACTATTGCCACCGGAACTAGCAGCAGTCCCAGCCATTGCAGCTGCTGCACCCAGACTGGAGGTGCTATGTTTTTCAATCTCGACCGTGCTCATCATATACAGCATTACGAAAAGGAGAACGTGGAGAGCGAAGCAATACCCTGCAAAGAGGTTTCGGCTCGTCCGATTGGCAAGGATGATGCGGGTGAGAGAAAAGACAATCCGTTCCGGGAGACTCATGCGTTTATATGCCCGTGCTGACTCTCGACCCCGGAATGCGGCAAATGGAGAGATTTGTGCCTCGTAGGCAGATTGGTATCGGTCGAGAGACAGCCCCGATGGTGTGTCTGGTGAGAGATGAACAGAGGTAGTGTTTGGTTTATTGCCGTAGGCAGAAACGGAGGATGATGCCCCATGACCCCGGCTGTACGCGGATACATACCGCGTCTTTTCATAGAGACTGAGGTTATCTCGCTGGAGAGAAGCAATCTCTTGTCTCAGGGATTTCACTGTATCGTACATCTTCGACAATTCTTCCTCAAGCTCCGAATTCTTCTTCTTGAAGCGGTCTCGCTGGGCTTGAATCATAGGCAAAATGCCGGAGCCCCCTCCGACAGGCTCTCCAGCACGCAAGGAGTCCATTGTATTGGAGGATGTCATAGTCTGATCAAAACCTGAAATGATCGACGATGTTGGTGATGTTTCTCCTCTCCGCGATGGGCGAGGATGTCTTGATGTGTAAGTACCGGCCACAGACATTGCCGAAGTCGGGAAAGCATTAGCTGCTTCTTGTTGCATTCGCAAAAGATCATTCTCAAGGGTTGTCGAAAGACTTTGCGATTTATCAAGCTCTTGTTTCGTGCTAGAGAGATCATTGCGTAGTGTTTCAAGCTGACCCTGAAGATCACGATGAGATACCCTCAGGATGGCAAGTTCATCTGTCAGCTTTTTGTTCCTGGCCATCAGCAGCTGCTCCAGACTATTGTTCTTGTTGCCATCTTTCTTCTTCGACGCAGCGCCATTGGATGCAGCGCCGATGGTATCGTTTTCAAGGTCTGCCGTATCGTCATCATCACCTGCAGCAAATTCGATAGACTGTCCATATTTTTAGCAGGTACACTGCATTAGAAGAATGTACGACCCATACCTTGATCATTTCAAGCTCCCGACGAATGTCTTCGTAGTCAGCCATCTTCTCTAACCTCGATCGCAGCTCTTCCTTCTCAGCAGCCGCCTTCGAGCTTTGTCTCTCGGATTGCGAAACCTTGGTCTCCCATGAATGACGTTCAGAGTCTCGATCAAACCTTGCTGCATCTAGCTTCCGAAGCAAAGACGAATTCTCCGACTGCAGGCGAAGATATGACGGGTCGTCCTCAACAGACATCTGCTCTGGCTGCGGATGCGATACGGCCTGAGCCAGCTCAAGTCTCAGCTGCTCATTTCGAGCTTCTACTTCTGCCAACCGCAGACTAGTCTTTTCCAAGTCGGTAGATACGAGCTCCAATTCGGCTGCTGTAGCGCCGTTTCGAGAAGCGTCACCACCATCGTCCTGGTCTAAACGCTGTGATACCTCATAGCTTGCTTTGACTTCCTTCAACAAATGTTCCTGATTTTCCACTTTCTCTTCCAAGCTCTTCTCTTTCGCTGCCCAGTTATTTGTCTTTTCCGTTAACACGGCTGACCACGATGATTCGATCTCCTTTATCCTAGCGTCTTGGTTCTCTTCCAGTTTCTTGCGCGCGGCCCGTTCTTCTTGTAGTCGTTTCTCCGTATTATCCAGCTGCGACGTTAATCGGTCCACAGAGTTCTGCAATTGCTCCTTCTCCGATGTCAATTTCGGAACCGTTTCTTCTGAGACAACAAGCGAATCCACCGAGGCTTCGAGAAGTGGGTATGGGTCAGGCGCTTCTGATAGCGAAGAGTACAACTGTAGGAATGCAGAGGACGAAGATTTGCCTTGGTTAGTCAAGACGTCGATAAACCCCTGGTAGGCTGTCAAGCATCCTGTTAGCCCTTCCGGACCCGAACCTTTGAACGGGAACACCGCCAACCTTTCAAGAGACTCTTGTGTTCAGCTAACTTCGAGGCGTCATCAAGCTTCTTGAAGTCCTTTGTCTTTTGAGCGAGGTCCTTTCTTTGGACGAGAGAGTCACGTTGCTGTGCGACAATGTCCGAAGCGGTGCCGTCTAATTTCGCGATAGTGCTGGCTAGATCAATGCCTAGTTGGTATCCCATATGTCAGCCCTATGCTCAACAGCTTAATGATG